AAATAGCATCTGTTGTGGATAGCAAAATGCTCGAACGCGTTGGAATATCGTAGTCGAAGCTGAGCGAGGAAATGCACGTCGTTCTGGGCTTGTATCTGTGAAAATTCGCGAATCGCAACGCGAGCACGGAGACACACGTGCTTGATTCGCGAACGGCTTGTTGCATACACCGGTGGCCTTGGCCAGCGCGCGCAGCATCGAGGCTATATTTGTATCAGCGGATTGCCAACAAAGACGCACACCGGAGCGATGCACCGATATCTCGCGCGCGCGCCGATAAGTCACTTATCGGATTTTTGCGAGATAATAAATTTTAATCGCAGAAAACGACCCGCGCGACAATGCACAATTATTGTTTATGCCTTCTCGCATGAGGTCAAACGCGTAACTTCCTGATTCTTACATACGTTGCAAATACACACCGCCGCTCGTAATTATAAACAAAGGCACATGCACACACACACGCCCACGCACAGCTGCAGATAGACAGCTAGTGTGCATGTGCGCAAGTGGCATTCCTCGCACGATTTAAAAAAAAGAACAAAAGCGCTTGACTCTATAGAAAAAATTGAAACAGTTATGAAAATGTTACATCGTAAAAGGCAATTTACTTAGATACGCAAATGTTGCCAACAGTGCTCGGATAAGACGATTGCGTAATTTTATACAGCACGATCGAGAGGAAAAAACTAGTCGGATTGTTACTCGCGCGCTACGTACTCTGGCTGTACGCGCCTCTCAAGGCCACCAAATTTTTATCAAAGTATTACGCGCCCGTTCGATGTAACTACTTATTCGCGACATTTTTCTCCTAATCGAGCAATAAAAAATGTCGGAGCTCGCCCAATTTACGCTATCGCGTAAGCTTCGCACGAGGCTCTGGCCAATTCTACGCATCGAGCGAGTCAAGAGCCGTAAGTGCAGTGCACGTGCACGCATGGCTCCGAGTCGCACACGTCACACGCGCCTTATCCATCTCGCTCATCTTCCTTCTTCAAACGCACGAGTCTATAATCTTCAACGCGTTGCTCGTTCGGAAGAAGGAAATTTCTTGACTCCCGACTCATTACGTATCTAGTTGTGCAATGTCGATGGCTCGCGACTCATCATTATTACCGATATGAAAAAAGATTACTCGATCATTCGATCAATTTCCACCGAGATTTATTGCCGTACGAGTTCACCAACCAAAATAGACAATGACAATGTTTAATTTATTTCTGCACGAGAGAAAAAAAGGAGAACAATAAAAACTATGCGGCGTAACGCGCCGAGGCAAGATTTTTCCTTCGCTTTATACGAACGTAAGCACTGCTCGTGGAGTGCATGAAACCTATATATTATATGTTCATGTTTATACCTGCGAAGAAGAAGAAGAATAAGAAAGTCCTCGTTGCAAGACAAATTGACTTTAATTTCGCTTCTAGTAAGCCGCTCTTGGCTTTCCCGCGTCTATTATTTTCACGCGTGCAGCGGCTCCATTATATTATGATACTGTTAAGCTCTGTCGAACGGGCAAAAAATACGCGAGCGTACGAGCTGTATTAACGCAGCCGTATTAAACAGGATCATCAGAAAGTTGAAGCTCGATATTTCGAACGAAAAATCCAACGCAAAGTGCCGAGCTAGAGTAATGAAAAAACACAATGTCGAACACATGTATAGCGAAGGTGAAGCGAAACTTGCTATTGAAATTTCGGCGGAATAAGTGCGAAGCTTTTATTTCCTAATCCTAACTGCACTTATCGCGACGTCTGCAGAGTCTTTATGAAAAAATTGTTGCGAGCAAAATTTCAAGGTTGAATTTCGGCTTTGAAATTAGTTCGCTTTCTCTATTTTCATGAAAATGACAAAAGTACCTCGGCTGTTGGTTTTCCGCCTCTTCGGAGAACAATGAAATATTTAACTGCGCATAACCAAATTGCACGAAAAGTCGTAATTTTAGCCGACGCTATCTGGATACGTATGTTTACATCGAAAAAGTCCAACTGTACTTTTCGCCTCGTTTTAACCACGTGGAATTTTATGACATATTCGATATACTGCCGCTTTTTTCCTGTATGTAGACATTTTATTAACCCGTCATAGCGCTCGCTACGTGTTCTCCGATAGATACAAGATATTCTGGCCCCAGCGTGCATTGACCGTAAAACCAGGCAGTTTTCTTGTTAAGGGAACTTAAAAGACGTCGCATGTATATGCGGAACGCGCTCGATCCGGTCAACATTACACGCGTACAAGCGATCGATTCTTCCTTATAGAATAAAGCTCGAGCACGTGTCGGACGAGGTAATCTCGGACAAAAAATGTATACAGCGTCTACAAATGCGTCAATTTGCGCTGTACAAATTCCTCGATACATTTTTATTTGCTTACCACTCTAACGAATAATTGATTTTTACCCGCAACAGGAATTTCGAAAGAAAATACAGTTGCCAACGAATATTTATTAAAAGTACTTTTTCCAAAAAAAATTAATAAAGTTGCAAAAAAAAGAAACTTCTGGCTCGACATTTATGCACAATTAGGTGGTAAGATACTTTCGAAAGTTGCGGGACACAATGAAAAAATATACAGCTAACGACGAAACGACGCGGGAGGTTTAACGAACCCAAACAAAGGAGTGCGTGTACGAGCACGCGATGCAAATGAGTTTATCATCATCAAGTTATTGTTGATGGGCCATGATTTACGATTTTTCCCTGTCCTAATGCAAATTTCCCTAGACTTATAATTATTATATTTTACGAGAAAATCGTAGTCATTGAAAAAGGCATAAATCTTGTTTTCGATCGATGTCAACATCTCTTTCTTTGACCGATGACTTTTAATATCTATCCTACGAGCGAGCTAAAACACAGATATACCTAGTTAATTATTGCAGCATAGTGAATCCGTGTGCATCTCGTATTGTACGATTTAAAAAGAAGCTATTAATCGTACTTTACGTAAGCCGTAGGTTATAAGTATGTGCGTATATTATTTAATTATCTCAATTGCATCGATGCATCAGCTGCGGATTCTCTCGAAGTAATAGACTCGGTTGAATTTTATCATGGCGCTTGGCCGTTACGTAAAATCGTCTGTGTTTTTCAAGCCAAAATGACAAGGGGCCAAAACTAGTGTAGCCGAGAACGTGCGAAGTACGCTGGTGAAAATCGTTTGAATGATCATAAACAATAAGCAGTTGAATGCACATCGGAACCAAAAGGTATCAGGCGCGCAGAGTTTTCGGAGCATCGATCGAATGCCAATCTTTTTTCGATTGCTGAATCAAACGAAAATCAACTATACTTTCATTGGTTGCGATGCGTAACCGATGCGCAACGATCTGAGCCATCCCATAGTCGAGCGGAGGCACGTGCTATGGTCTATATTTACATTTTCTTTCGCATGCACTTGCAGATATAAATTGGGTCAGGGCTGGCTAACTTTTCTCTCTCTCTCTCTCTCTCTCTCTCTGGTGCGCAAATGTGCATAAATATCGCAGGCGGCCAGTGGCACGCACTCGCAACCCTGTTTCCATGCATTCATCGCAAATCTCGAGCCGTACCGAAGGTTAAGCACATTTATAAATTAAGTATACCAAAATGTGCCCGCGCGGCAAGTTATTCGTTGGTGCATCGCGAGGGTCTTTGAACTTTAGCGGCGTACGAAAGAAAAAAGTGAGAAGAAAAATCGGAAAACAGTATCACGCACGCACACGCTCGCAAGCTCGACGCGAGCGAATGTCATAACTCACTGATTCGAGCGTGGAGAATCTTGAACTTGATACACGCAATTATTCGCGGCTATTGTATCGGATGTCAATTGCAATGCAAAAGCAGATAGAGACATGCCGGCCGATCGTGATTTATTTCGATCGCTGAGCTCAACGATGCGAAAAATTGTCGAGTTAGCCGAGGCGCGAGAAAACGATACGCCCAGCGATAAGTTTCACGTTGTAGCATTGCGATACGGCATACGTCGAAGTGGTCATGTGCGCGAAGCATAATCGCACGTATATGCAGCTGGTGCGGGGCATGTATGCAGCGGCTTGGACACGGGAAATTTAGCGAAGACTTTAGCAATCTTTGACAACATTCGAGCAGCAGAGAGCAGAGAGGCAGCTGCAGATCGGGCATGCGTACAATGGCGCTGGGGCTTCGGCTAATGTTACACAAGCTTTTTTATTTAGCACCGAGTCCGAGAGCGAACTCGCTATGTGCATAATGCGATCTGTTGCTGTTCTGGCTCGGGGGGGGGCCAATTTCGCTGGTCGAGCCCGAGATCTCGGAGCCGCGAGGAAAAGGAGCGTCGGCGCCAACGGCCGATCTACACCCGCGACGCGCAGTCACAACCGCGCACTTACATCGGCAATAGCTATAGACGTCCTCTTTTTGCGTCTTATAGCAACGAGGTTTTCGCTGCGCTGGCCCGCGAGAGCGAATCGATATTAATTAAAGAAAGAATAACAGAAACGAGAGAAAAAGAGAAAAACCTTGGAGGCGCTGGAGGTGTGCGGCCGAAGCGAAAAAAAAAAAGAAAAAAAATTGCGCACTCGGAGTAGTAATGTCGCACACGCGCGCACGCAGACACAAAGGCATTATTATGTACGGTCGCGAGCGTATCGCATTGTGCCTTTGCGCTGCATTGCGCGCACTGCACAGCACATAGCGCACACATAGAGACACATAAGAGAGTATATGCCAAGCGCGTGCCCATTTCGCCAACGATCGCTGCTGCTGCTGCTGCTGCACGTTGCACCTCTCTCTCTCTCTCTCTCTCTCTTTTGCTCGCTAGCTAGCTAACTCTTGTAAATATACATTCTCCCACACACACACACACACACACACTTACACACATACACACGCACACACATACATGGTCACACACGGACATACACAGGTACGAATCGCAACGTATATGCAGGCTGTGTGTATATATATGCGCGTTGTATTCCAACGACAGCCACAAGAGCTAGAGGACAAAAAACTGATCTATAAATTAATGACACTTACTGTTAGCTGATTGTAATTGCTGCAACGAGCTTGGCTCGTTATTCGCTGCTGCTGCGGCTGCTGAAACTTCTTCCTACACCTAATAGGTACAATTGAACTGCTGCACCAGGGCATCAATATGATCATCTGTTATTACGAAGCGCGCGCGCACACACACACACACACACACACACCGTCAACGGGACTGATAAACGATCTATTATTCTGATCCGACTTGCAACTGCTGCAGCACAACACGATTATTTCTTCCTTTCTCCCTTGCGACCTTTTTTTCCTCTTTTTCTTTTTCTTGATATTGTGAAACAACCAAAACTGATTTGCGCACTATTTCATTTTAACCATCACAGCAACGCACTGATATTCACTCATCAATTTTTATGGCAGAAATTCGAATTTGCCAAGTTGCTTCCAAGACGCGATAAATATTTAAAGACAATCGGAGCTATTTAAACAAACGGCCATGCACTCGCGGAATAGGAGCTCGCGGAGCAAGAGTCAGTACTGAAACTAAACTGTCAGAGAGTGTCTGTCTCCTTTGTTTGGGGAGGAGGGGGCGCGAGGGGAAGGGAGCAGCAGCAGCTCTGCTACAACTCCAAGCTCTCGGGCAATATTCGACTCTCTTTTCTCTCTTATGTATATGGTTGATTCTCCCGAAATCTGCTTTTTCGGGTATGGAAAACGAAAAAATGGTGAAAATTTTTTTGTCATATTGAACGGCGCGAACTAGTTTACCCTTTTTTAAACCATAAAATATGAATAATTATTGAATCTGGGGCTTTGAGATTTCGTTTTACGAAAACTATGTCCGATTTTATGCTTAAAATCGACTATTTTCGGTTACGGAGGTGACACACACGGAGGTGACAAATCGCTGCTTTGATCAACTATGTAAGAAAAATAAGAAACGCACAAAATTTTCCGCACAACCCGAAATTTGGTCATGAAAAACGAGTCTTTTGACGGGGCGAGCGGTTAAAAAGAATGATCATAGCTCGAGATATTCATGTCCACGGAGGTGACCGTTTTTTTGACACACGTGAATTTTTCAATAGAATAATTATCGCAGCATCGATAAAATGTAAAATTTGAACCCGCAACCTACACCAATCGAAAGCTGGGCTATAATACTTGACATTTACGTATCTAGCGACATCAAAAATGAGTTAGCGACCCAAAGCAGGCGGTATGTTTGAAATTATTCAGAAGCATGATTAAAATCCGAGACATTTTTCAATTGCGTGGGAAATTTTTTTAAAACATTTTTCAAAGCCCTATAATAGACTTAAACTTTACTCTGGATGTATAGAAGCTGGTCTCATAGTTATTATAGGGTCAGGTGCTAATGAGAATGCATGGTACATGCAAATAGAGTTGATTTTGAGATGTAGACATGCCACGGAGGTGACATTTGGCATGTATATCTTCACGGCAAATTTAACTGACCCTAAAAAATTGAAATATTTATGTCCTATCATGAAGAATACAACAATATTGAATGAATGACCGAGCCAGTTTTGGCTCATCTTCACTAGTTTAAGAATATGGCATAAAGACATGCAAAAAGCAGATTTCAGGAGAATCAACCATATGCACAGTCTGACGGCCAGCCACGGGCGCGCATATAAACACGAAACAGCTGAGTGTGGTGGCGCTCGCGTAGCAGCAGTGCACCATGCACTTTTTGCATCTCTCGCGCACACACGCACACACACACACACTCGCACAAACATTCGCAATACAACGTCGCGGCGCCGCCGAGTGGGGAGAGCGAGAGAAGGGCGCGATGTATTGGCAGACAAGCTGCAGCGCAGCAGATATCGAACGCGTTCTGCACATAGCTGAGAGACAGAGAGAGAGACATTTTCGCTGCTTTTTCCCCCGCGGTTTCTTCGAGTTTTTTTAAGAGCTCTGCTCCGAGTCGACGGTATATTCCTATCTTAGAGCTGAGGATGAAAATTGCACCTGACATTTTGATTTTTTATTTTACAGCTTCTATGCCTCTTATGACTCGATCGACTACATAATAATTCAAATTCAAAATATTTTTTTACCATAACAGATGCATAAGCTGCTCGGCAATTTATAGCATACTAAATTTATTAATCTATACATAAGTCAATTCATTCGAAATTTATAATAATTTGGCAAAGAAATCAATGTCCTGTTACCTCGTAATACTATATAAGTGCGATATAAGTACTTCTTATGCAAACCAACTTGAAAATAAAAGAAGATGAAGCAAAGGAAAGGTTTTGGAGACTCACAATTACATGTTGAAACCGTAAATAAAAATATTTTTTGATTATGAGTAAAAACAAATAAATAAATAAAAAAAAATATATATATATATATTTTGCCGAGTGATTAAAACCATAGGATATCAATGGGTACATTATCCGATTGATTTCTCTCGCAACAAAAAGGTAACATCGCGTCAATCCTCGTTAGTTGATAAAGTCTGGTAAGTACATCTCTCAAATTTACAGCGAGAGAATGAGAGAAAGATAAAAATTACTAGCGTCCAAATAGCTTACATTTATTTAATATAAGCACGTTCGCCGTACGAGTACAATATGTGAAATGTACACGTGCTCGAAGGTAAAAACACATTAGTCTATCTTATTTACACACAATGGGTCGTTCTATATGTTTTTGTTCAATACCAATGAAATAATTGAAGTTGAAATGTTGTAACCAGGTAATTTGTCTAAATTGACTGAGATACAAAAGATAAATATTCAAAAACTTGACATGGAAACATACTTTTGACTAAAAAGTCATATCCAGTGTTTGTATGTAAACAAAATCAAGATAAAATTAAAAATTATGATGAGCGTTGAACACAATTAAAATTTATTTTGTGATGTTACGTTTTTCTTTCCAAATAACAATTTTTATTTATTTCAACCAAAAGTAGTTAGTACTCACAGTTTTATTAATAGGATTGGCTTGTTATAAGATTGTTACTATGAGTGAATTGTGTTGCAGCTTTATTAATTTTGATGGACAAGGCCTAAAATTGAATTTTTAATTTTGTAAGGTGGGTTTGGGTTATGTTTGGAATAGTATGCCACCTAACACTTTTCACTTGTTTTATTTTCCCAGTACATGCAGATAATAATCAAGAAGCAGAAAAACATGATTTATTTTTTATAATTTTGCATCAAATATCCAGATTATTTTTATTAATCAATCAATTGATAACAATACTACACACTTGGAGACTTGTGTTTTTTTGTTCAATCGCTTAAACAGTTGTGGTTTCAATGATCAATATATTTTATCGATGGTTTTATTTTATTTCATTTCTTTCCATTTAACTAACGGTGTAGATATATTCATTCACAAATTAATATTTCCTTCTTTTTCATTTGAATATATATTTTTTTGGTATAATCATCATCGTCGTCAGCATCACCGTTGATAATATCATTACTCGCTAAATTGTGTTATACAGTTATACAATTCGTCAAGTTCAGGGATTACTTTTGTACCCTTTGCAGTATGATACATAATGCATAAGAATATTTTTCCATTTTCCAGTTTAAATGTTCATCTTGTGCTCGATAAAACAGAGCGTCAATAATTCTAAAGCAGTAATAATTTCAATTATTCAGGTTTTCTGAATTTTCAAGTTAGTTCGTTTGTTTAGTCAACATAAAAAATTGGCCCGGGTACAGTAGCTCAGTGAATGACATTTATAAATATCGACGCGGTGTACTCCGTTCAGATGCATTAGTCATCGTGTGTATAAAGAATCAATGGTACTTCCTCGTTCTGCCATGTGCTAACGCGCTATCACAACTAATTCAACTAAATCTACGTTTATGTAGGTTGCATTATTTCATCTAACTTGCAGACAAACCAAGTGTGCCCGAATACGATATCGGTATGAAACTAAATTATTTCAACATTTTTTCAAGCAAACTTCATAACGACTTGCTGTAACGATCTATTTATTAAATTTATTTTATACACAAATACTCGAAAAATTAATATTTTTTCGAGTATCATTTATTTCAAGGTTACATTCATGTATATTATACTGTTCAATGTCCATTTTCACCACTGAAATACGTTAACAATTCAATTTTCACGTTCACTATATGGAACATCGAGAAACTTATGTAAGGTAACATTTTACAGAACACCACCGTTGAATGTTTTGTTAGTGCATATATGACGTCTATAATAATCGAGGATAAATCGTGGATTTACCGTGAGGCTATACTTATATTTTTCCATGTAGCCACTTTCATTAGTTGTTGTAAATATTATTCGCTCGCTTAGTTGAATATTTTTCGTAATTTACAATATTTATATCGTGTACGCATTGGTGAAAACAAAATTCAACACCATGGGAAATATATATTAAAAATTCAAACTAATTCTGTAATCTCTTGATCATAATCTCTAAACTTAATTACTTTATTATACAAAATAATATCATGTTTAATCTCACTAGAGTATCAGTAATTTATTTGCTTTTTTACCCGCGCTTTTTAACAATAGATATTTATCCTTACAATTATTAAATACCTTACAACTTAATGTTCGTTTTTTCAATCATCCGAGAATGATTAATAATTTTAATGAGATCACAAGCTGCAGAAATTGTTTTCTCTCGGTAACGAGATTCATTTTCCAAATCTTCCCCATGAAATTTTACACATATAACTTTTTTTTTGGAAATTTACATAGTTAACATTGTGGATACAATTGTTTTACATATTCTCATACCTTTACGCCAAGTTTGAAGCAATTTTAATTTGTTGATTTACAGATACAGATTTTTCGTCATTAAGCATAATTTTTTTTCCTTATTATGATTAAATGATATTTTTATTTATTGCAATAGAATTTTTTCAAACAGCAAAAATATTTCTTTTCATTTGTTCATGATATGTAGCTATAATATGGATTGTTTCAACTAAAAATGTTCAAAAATCTTGTTATCGATATCCTTCTTTACGACATTTACGTTTTTCTCAAACTTTTATGAATTCATACAGAAAAAAGAAAATCTAAATTGAAGCCGCGATAATTTAATAATAATAATAACAATAATAATAGTAATAATTAAATAATTCGAACAAGTAGTAAAACAATAACGTGAATTATATTTTAGAGCTTGTACGGTAGACACGTGGCGGTAATCGGAGGACTAAATTTTCTAAACCCTTTATTCGGCTGTTGCGTATAATAGACGTAAACCTAAAACTTGATGCTAATTCTTATATCTAAAAATACAGTAAGAATCAGCTTTCATTCTCATTATTTATTTTAATCATAATATCTAATATTTTTAAAAAATAAACAGTGAATTTGAAGCCTTCTCTTACGTATTTTTATTATATCTAATGACTGCTCGGCTGCACCTGAGGTTTTCAACAACGTTACTCACCTCTATAATATATTACTCATAAGTAATTAACTAACTCATACTTCAATACATATGACAAGAACTTAATGAACAAACTGAAGAGAAGGTATACTATTTACCGCATTCGTGAAAAAAATTACTGTATACCTATAAGAAACAGTGAATATTTCTCTTAATATAATAGTAACAAAATTTCGACCGGAAAAACAGTGACAAACTTAAATTAATTACGACTAAGCTTAAAATTAGATTCTTACAGACTAATGACTCGGTGTTAATGTGAGAGTTAATTTTTACACGAAAAATTACACAACTCACCACCTTGGAATGACTAGAGCAACCTCATTCGATTCTTGAATCTTTTACAAGAATCGTTTAAAAATGTTTTGAAAAAAAATTCAAAAATAACTGAAACTTACATTTCTATTTATACACATACGCAAAGATATGTATACAAATGTCGTAAACGCATTTGCAATATACATTGTTTTAGTTTTTAAGTTCTCTTCAGGATTAGACTTATAATGATTCGTCGCGGGTACACATACTTTATGAATAGTCTTAAAATTTATTATTTGGTTGAGCTGTATCGAACGTGGCATTTTTCAACCAACGTCTTGAAAAACGGAGCAATTTTTCATTGCCAAAAGAAGAATACTAACAAATTAATTTTATTTGTCAAACGATTATCAACTATGAGAAAAAAATTCAAATATTGCCAAGACTAAAATATCACTGGCTAAGTCATAACATGTTCTTAATAATTTGGCTCTTAATTACAATAACTTTAACGGTTGTATATATTTCTTCGAGTATAGTTAGATAATACTTTTTCCATCATATTTGCATCATTAAATATATTTAAATCAATCTTTCGGACTTTTAAGGCGCAAAAGACTATTGAACAAATTTTTTTTATCGGCATTCAAGAAGCTGTATAAGCGCAGCGTATGACAATAACAACAACAATGTTAATATGTGTGTGTCCAGACTATGACTTTTGGAAAAACATCGAAGGCAATAGTTTGATCTCGACTCTTTAATTTTATTTTGACGAAAGAGCGCAAGCAAATGATCGCCTACAGACAATACATGATAAAAACTCGAGAAAGGAACTTTGATCTATTTCAATTCAACGTGGCTATAACGAAATCGATAATAAAAATGCCGAGTCTTTTGACACTCTTAAAAAAATTTGCGGCCTACTCAGGACTTTACGAAGCTAATATAATACCACATCGACGCTTAATATCTTTTACTAAGCAACAAACGGAAAAATATATCTTTTGGTATTGTCCTTTCTTTTTACGTTTTAATAATATTATACATTTTAAAACATGCTTTTTATATATATAATGTTTATATATATATATGTGTATATTTGTAATCAACGAGGCACGTACAGTTTATGCGCGATTATAATCGATTTAACTTCTATTCACCAGTACCGTCATATTTGTTCCCTCATTCCACTAGATTTTGTTACTGTTTCCTTAATTTCACTTTAAACGAAAAAAATTGAGCATCCGTAATTGGCTTTAATAATTTTTATAACTTTTCATCAAATTTATAAAGAAAGAAATGACAAACGTCTATCGGTTCAAAACTAATAATACATATTCATATCTGAGCGTCTAAGTTGTATGTACCCCATTAATCTTAATATATTCCAAGTGTGTAAAATATTTGTATATACTTGTTAAACTTTTATCATTATTTTCTTTACTTTGTCTTATTTCATTAATTCCTGGATTAATTGCCTTCGAAAAAATTATGATAATTAATACTCGACTTGGAATACGTTATATATGCACCCATACATGAAAATGTTATTTTATGACTTACCAAAAAAAATGCGACCTTCTTTTTAACGACCAAACATTTTTTAACGAGACCAAAACCCACGTAATGTCAATTTTTTGTAATCTCCTGAAAATCGCACTTAATTTGTTGAGTTATCGCATATCATTTTCATACGAGAGTGAATGACTTGCTAAACTTTCGTTTTTTTCGACACCTTAATATAGGGTAGTCAGACCAATCAATGACCGGGTACCAGTGAATGACCATTTTAGAAAATATCATATGAAAAACAATTAAAAATATATTTCTATGGACGTAATTCAATTTTTTAGTGAACGATGCATCTTGTTTTCTATGTTTGATCATAATTTAATAAGGAAAAACGATAATTATTGCACATCCAAAAGTGGTCATTTACTGGTCGAAAGCGGTCAATCACTGGTATAAGTACCCTATATGCACAGTACACGTTAACGATATTCATTTTTGTCTAATAACATACATGTAATCATTGCCATATAATAATTGCTAATTAACCAACTTAATCGATTGAGGGAGTGCGCACGTGATTCAGTAGCAGATATAATAGGCAAGAATGATGATAAAAATTTAGTCGGACGAATCAGAATCAGACGGGGCCGCTGGTTGATGGTGATTGCCGGATTCGGCTTCTGGAGTTGATTCTGGTATCGATTTTTTCGGCGTAGATATGCTCGTCGCGCTAATGTATGCTCCTGGGCCTTCACCCTGCGTATGCTCGATACCAACTCTGTAGCAAATTAAATTAAATATTTAACATGTTACCGGTTTCAGACGCCCTTGCTGAAGATTATTACTCACCGGTACTCGTGCCTTGAGAGATTTTTGACGTATTTTTCCGGGGGCTCATCACCGTCAAAATTCTGAAAGCTTACGCTCCTCGCTGTTGTGTGAGAAACTTGTGTCACGGGCATCGTAAATTCGACATAGGCATACTCGGACAATTTCTCCGGTATTTGGTCGTACGACGTCAGACTCAATCGGCATACCAATTGATGCGTCGTGTAAGCGCCTGAAGCAATAAGATGTATCATATTAATGTCTAGCAAAAATTAAATTTAACTGAACCAGGCATGACATTTACCTTGCCCATCTTTGGGTAATTTAGGCATCCTCCACACAATGGCGTGATGTTGATGTTCGTACTTTGCTTGACCCGAGGTGACTTCCATTAGCTGTGGTTCTAAAGTATCCATCGTTCCCAAGAATCTCTCGATACCCTTTATCTTTCCAGTTCGTCTGTGAGCTGACTTGACCGAGCCATATCTGAAGTGTTTTTCCACTCGGAATAAGTAGATCCAGCATTCAGGTATGGGGAATCGCACCATCACATCTTCACATGGCACTCTGCCGAGTTTGCGTGAAGCGAAGCCGGGGACGAGTATGTCTGCGCGCAATTCAACCTAAAAATTAATATTACTATCAGCATTTTCTGAGTGAAATTGGTACTTTGGGAGTACACAACAACCAGTAGTATACTGAGATGCGCGATGTACTTTTTGTTGTTTCGATTGATTACTCATTTAAATGGTAATTAAATAGGTATCAAAGATGAATTTCATTTCATGGATAGTAAGTTTCTACGCGAATGTTTTCGTCTAATTTAGTGAATTTTACGTGGTTCATCAAATCACAGACATAAATGAAAATTTAATGCAGAAGAAGAAATTTTACGAATGGTGCTTGCTTGATTATTTCTACGTTCATTTTTTGAGAAGTTTGCATTGGAGCTATCTTATTAGAGTAACATTTATAGAAATAAGTGATTCCCTAAAATATGAAAAGTTGATTGAAAAATATCAATAACTTTTCTTTCAACTCTTCAATATAATAAAATGAAGTTAGAGTCAATTACTTTGTTGCCGGTGACACACATGACGGCTTTAAGCTGCAAAGGCAGCTCGCGATTTCGTGGTGGTCTTACACGGAACCTCATTAATTCGAAATAACAAGCATCGGGTGGCTTGAACCTGTAATGAAATTTGACGTACCAAATTATATTTATGACTTTCAAATATGTTACAATTGTTCATCTATGTAAGTTAATCGTACTTGATGAGCTTGGACTTTTCGTATTCGTCCTGCTGAACGCACGAATGAAACTCTATAGCTTCGAGACGAATCCATTCCTCAGTTGCGACTGGAATAATGTCGTGCCTGCCGACAACTTCTTTGCCCTGTCTCCAAATGTCGTTAATGCCCAATTCGACGTCGGGCATGCCAGAGAGAAATCCGAGGAAAAACAAGCGCACTCGAGCGATTTGCTTATCCACGTGCCCATCGGCGTTTTGTTCAACGTAGATCTCGTCCACGACGTTTATTTGAACTTCTTCCATTTTGTACTGAAGAGCACGATCTCTGTGCGCGGACAACCTGAAAAGAGCCTCTTCGATCACCACTGAGAACTGCTTCATGTCTTCGTAATTTTGAGATGCAAGTTTGAAAAGCTGTGATATCTAGAAACAATACAAAAGTAACCATTTCACTATAAATTTATAGAAAACTGAATAGCAAAACAAAATGGTACAATTATGTTTGAATTTCAAATATTTCAATTATCATTATAAAAGAGCCTATTTTGTTCAGAAGCAACATGCTACACTGAAAAAAAGTTTTCTACCAAAAACTTTGTTTCTTTAACAGTATATCTGAAAATTTCGTGAAATTTTTTTTTACTTGCAGTTTTTCCATATAAAATTAAAAAGAAACATAAATTTTCAGATTTCATGTTAGGCAAGTCGTAATATTTTGACGCTGCAAATGCATTATTTTTAACTCCGATCATTTTAATCAAAACTGCTGAGCATAAACCTTTATTGCTAGCGATACACTGATCAATCAACAGTAATTACTTACGTCATTTTATTACAATTACTCCCTAAATTTAAAAAAAAAAAAGTGAAACTGTGTGACAAATAAAAAATGTTAGGTCTCGTTAGTGTATTACATAATAATAAATTAAAACTGTGTGAAAATATGTTTATCAAGTTAAACGAGATTAGAATCATCAAAAGTGCTTAATTGTTTAGCCGATATTACAAGCAAGAGACTTTATTACATAAAAAATATGTATGCAAAAGAGTCTCCTAAAAGTTATACCGAAAACAATCAGTGCAGTGTATAATACTTGAAAACGCTAGAAAAAAAATCAGAAGTATTTATGACAATAGGTAGCCACGAGTATAAAAAAAATGTAGCGAATTCAAGCAATTCGAACTTTGCTCCGCAATTTTCATTGTCTTCTTGTAGATTATTTATAATGCAGAAATGTTCAAAAATATTTAACGAGACTACATTATATAAAAATGAAAATGCGCAGTCACGCCGAATGGCAAGATTCAATCGTCGCTTGACTCGAAAACAAAGATAACACTTAGCCCATTCAATGTTTAAAATTAGCACAAAATGCTAAAAATGTATATCCTACCTGAGGCGCATGCTCTACAGGCATTCCAAGTTTTTTCAAATCGCTACCAAACTCTTTGACGCCTTGATAGTCTCCCTGTATAGCATAAGCCGCAAACTGACTGAGCTTATTTGTGATCCTTTCGGCTTTCGTGACTTGTCCAGGCCTAACGCCCGGTCGCTCTTTATAAAATATGTACTGTAATTTAACGGTAAATATTTTGCCGTACTGGTCGAACTGCTGGGCCGCAATTTCTGAGACCGAGTAGCAAGCCAGCAATGGCAACTCTTGAAAGGGATCTTTATCACCCTTGCTATTAAACAACTGTAACACCGGATTATCTCCTTGATAAACCAACTTAACAAATATTTTCTTCCAAAACCGTTGACCAGTGATTTTTTTCTTGATCGGCATACGCAGTTGCATTTCCCAACCTTCACCGGTGTACGTGATTCTTGGAAAATCTTCGAGCGGTTGGCTGACGTCCTCGTCAAACAGAGGCGTTGGTGGTGTCTCCTGAGAATCGGAACGTTTCATTTCACCAGGAATTGCGCCACCCAAGTCTGTAGGAACGCCTTGCTGACCCATCGAAGCGTCGAAAGGATTCAAATGTGGAGCTGAATCGGTATAAGCTGCATGCATTGGGCTCTTTGGAGGTGGAGCAAGAGTCGGTACGGGGCCACCCGGGACGTAAGACTCCTCACCATCTTTTGGCCTGAGATAAGCGTGAGTTAGTTAAACGATTATGACTGTCTTAGAAACTTTTAATACTCACTTAATGTAAACACTGAAGTCTGGGGCTTCGTCCGAGTCACCGGAACCTCTTCTTCTTGGTGCAATATCTGGTGGTGGGGCAGTCATTGACAAAAATGAATCGAATCCATCAGTATCTTCACCAAAGCCGCTGACCGGTTCTCCAGTGGATACACCCGACGAGTCGCCCCAAACTGTAAAAAATACATAAACTTCAATAAATTTCGATGCTCACGTACTTGCAATGGAATTTGAAAGGACTTGCCATCACTGCTCGTGTCCATAGCTGTGTGTCCCGATCCTCCGCCAAATGGATCACCAAAAGCATTGCTAGTATGATCGTGCTCTGCAGCTTTTTCAAACTTAGATGCAAAGGCGTCAAACGCATCGCCAGTTTCGTGACCAACTGACGCTCCAAATCCACCACTCGTATCAGTAGTTGGATAAGCAGAGTGTGAATATTCTTGAGCGGCAGCTGGGCTAACTGCAGAATTATAAGTTGTGTCGGGTAAGGGTTCAACCGCGCCAAAACCACCCAGGAGATCTGCGAATCCTCCACCAGGTGGAATCGAAGGTTGTGATTGTTCCGTTGGTTGAGCAGTGTCATAATGACTCGAAACATCAACCGTTTCCTCTGGTTGCACTGGATCCACAACTGGCGCTTGCTCGGATACAGTTGGAACTGAAGGTTGTGCTAGAAAATTTAATTTTATAGAGCATTCATTTTATTTAAAAAAATGAAATGATCAATGAACGTCAGATTCAATGCAAATGATGTTTAGATAATGAATAGTGACTATAAATTATAAATGAAGATGATAAATGAGTTCTTACCTACTGCAAAGAAAGCCGAATACTCACCAGCAACGGGTGAGCCGCTGGTAAGCGAGGGTCTTTTAGGCTGAACGGCGGAGTCCTCTATATGCACTTGCGCCTGGCTGACGTCAGCGAAGGGATTGTCCGAAATTTGCGTCGTTGGTGGGGCGCCACTGTCGCGACGAGCCACTGTCTCGCTTGGCTCAACGTCAGGTTGAATCGGTGCTTCAGGTGGAGCTGCAGGCGCATCGTATAAACCAAGAATGTCCTGGGAACTCGTATCACGAGAGAGTTCTGGTACGCGACCGTCGACGTCTAGCATCTCGGCGACGCTGTGCTCCGGCGTTGGCGAGGGCGAATGCATCAGCGATGGACTCGGCGTCCTTGTAGCTTGTAGACGGTCCAGCATCTCATTCGAAGTTTCGTCCATAGCTCCCGTTACAGAAAGTATGAGTTCTTTGGGATTTCTCGCTGGTGGTGGGGGAGGTCCAGGTCTCGGTGGTGGCGGTGGCCTCGCCGGCTTACTTGGTACAGACGGAGCCGGTTGCTGTGGTATCTCCACTTCTGGTGCAGGTGCGGGTGCAGGTACAGGTACAGGTGCTTCCACTGTCGTTTCGACGGATATTAATGGCTCTGGTTCTGGTTCGGGCACCGTAGCTACTTCGGGCGCAATGAAAACATTGGTTTCCTGCTCTGGCACGGCAGCCGCTTCAACTCCGAAAGAAGCGAATGGATTTGTGGAATCAGTAGGTGGTTGATACGATGGATCTGGTGCAAAACTGAAAAAGGGATTAGCTTCTGCACCACCCACCGCTTCTGGCACAGCTGATGGATCACCAAAATCTTGTAGAAATGGGTTAGATGCAGCTGACATTGCAGCGTCCGCCTCCGCGGGAAAATCGTCCATCAAAAACGGATTTGACTTGGAATCCATTTTGGAAAGATTAACTTTTACACTTAGTTAAAGAACACGGATAAGCGTTTAAGTTATTGATCGATCAATTCAGATTCAAGAAGTTTGAGTTCGGTTTTTCCTGGGTCGATGCTGGCAAAACTAGTATCGAAAGGATCTTTATCGTCCTCAGACAAATCAGTATTTTGTATAGGTGTTAAAACTCTATCAGCAGGCCCTTCTTCAGAATCTAAACACAAAATGTCTTTTTTTTCTTCTCCGGCTCTTGGATCAAAGTCAAGATCTTCTTCGACAACCGATCTTTTCGCGACTTGTTCGATAACTGGATGAATTCGTATTGGACCCGGATCAGGTACTTGATTGAGCTCGTTTTCTAATAATTTGAGTTCGGCTTTGCCTGGAAGCGGCACTTCTGCGTGCGATGTGTCAAACGGATCTCCGTAACTCTGCTCGACTTCTTCTTCGATAGTACTAGGCTTGACGTTAGGTTCCAAGGGTTCGGTAAAAACAGTATCGGGTGCTTCTGTATCTAAAATACTATCTTGCCTTTTGTCGAGTGCTTTCCTTTTATTGACTAATGTCTCAATGACCTCTGCACTGCTGACAACGTCACTAACGCGCCTAACAGGATGGTCAGATCGTGGATCAAATTCACTGTCGCTTATATCGTCTGCCGCTTTGATCGACGGATCTTCATTCAGAAGTTCGGATTCAATTAATTTCAATTCAGTTTTACCAGGTGCACTCGCAACGAAACTAGTATCAAAGGGATCAACTTCGGATTCTTCCAACTCGTCTCCAGAAGGAATAACTTCTTCAATTGATTTTTGAGGGTAGTAAGGCGTTAAGGGTTTCCCAGGTAAATTTTTTTCCTCACTGTCACTCGCAAGAAGATTCGTCGGTGGTACGTCAAAAGCAACGACTTTGGATGATATATCGAGCACCTCGGGTCTTGAAGGTTTTCTTGCTCTATCTAAGGGTTCTTGTGGAGTGTTTGAGTTGTCAGTAACGTAATAAGTTACCTCAGAAATAACTTCTTTGATCGGTGCTGGCCTTGGTGGTGGTTTTTTCTTTTGAGGTACTATTACTTCGTCTGCCCTCGGATCAAAGTCGTCGTCGTCAAGAGTGTCTAAGACAGATTTTTTCTCACCCAAAAGTTCTTTTTCGATGAATTTTAGCTCTGTTCGACCAGGTGGTAAATCTTGTATACTAGATGTATCGAACGGATCTACGTAACTTAATTCTTCTACAGGTTTGATTGGTTGATCAGATAATTTGCTCAAATCGGTACTTGATCCACCTAAAAGATCTTTTTTTACCACACCAAGATTCACTTGCGTACCTTTGAGAATTTGCGGAACAGAAGATGAATCCTTTGACTTTGGTACTTGCTCGAGTTCTTTTTCAATAAATTTAAGTTCAGTTTTACCGGGTAATATGTTTTCTGCGATTGTAGTATCGAATGGATCTTCTTCGTCAATGAAAGTTGCTGCCACGAAGCTTATTTCCTCAGCTAAGTCGATATCTTCGGATTCTTTTTCAGCGAATGGATCTTCTGCTTCTTCTAAAACTAACGGCTCAGCTGGTCCATCTAAATCGAATTCTTCGTCATTTAGTACAGGTATTTCGTCTAGTACCGTTTTATTAAAAGCTTCAAATTCAGATACATCAAGTGGTTTGAGTAATTCGTCAACAATTGGATCGCCTCCTTCAACTGCGGGTGTAACTGGTCTTGGTGGAATAATAGGTGGAAGTTTTGTTAAATCAACTGGAATGTCAGGAAGATCACTGTCGTCATCGAGTAAAGTTTTCGGTACATTATCTGCTTTGGTTTCGTCGTTTGGATTGTCTGGTGTGACTGCTGGCTCAGCTACTTCAAAGTCGTCAAGTAAAAGATCGGTCTGAACTCTTGGTCTATTTTTGCTGATCTTACAAGTACTCTTATGGTCGATACGACCAGCTAATACTTCGACTGCGTTGCCAAGACTAACGAGTTTTTTGCCGGTAGTTTTGTCGACTGTCTTAAGAACAACGTCTGCGTTGGTTGTATCGAAAGGATCGTCACCTAACTCTTCTTGAGTAGGACTGTCTGGTATGTAAGCTAATTGAACTTCGATATTCTGCAAAGCGTCAATATAGGTGGTATCGAAAATATCCTCTTCAGCTGAATCCTCGTGTGCTTCATCATCTTCAGGTAACTCAACGATACCGTCTTCGTTAACTTTGAGAACTACTTTATCTTCGTCTTCTTTGATTTCAATGGGATTACCGTCTTTGTCAAAACCAGCGTAGCGTTTAGCTAGTTCTTCTTTGCGCTTAACGACTTCCGGAGCCTCTTCGGGATCGGGTTCAGGTTCAACAGCCTTGCGTTGGAAGAATGAAGTTGATTTGATACGATCTAGATCGTCTTGAGTTTTTTTTAAAATGGAATCAACGCCCGATGTGAGAGCTGCGAATTTACTCCACTCGTCGTTGTTGGTTGCTGGTTTACCGTCTCCTGATTCGGCTGCTTCTGCCGCTAACTTAGCTTGGGCCTCCGCCCGTTCGCGTCTGTAACGTTCTAATTCTTCTGGGTCGAACTCGTCGTCGTCTTCTCCTTTCTTTCCCTTCTTCTGCTTTTTCTTCTTCTTATTAAGGCCCTTGGCTAGCTTGTGCATCCTCTAAGAGCTACCTTAGTGCAGAGGCCTCTGTAATAAATATTAATTAGCAACTTTAGAATTTAATTTCTTTGCAATGCAACGAATTTGTTTGTACGCAGCAATTTTTAGTGAATCAAATTTTTTTCTGTCATTTAATTTCTCATTCAAACATGCTCGTTATTTTGACTTTTTCAATTTTTAATTCTAGTACTGTAGCATGCAACATGCAGATGTCGATAATAATACGTGCTGAGAACTTAATTTCAAGTCATTTATTATTTACTTTTAAATGATAAATTAATTTAAAAACTGGTGACCAGGAAGCATCGAAGCCAAGTAACAACAAAAATTATCAAAAACTTTTTTGCAAGGTTTTCACTGAATAATATTCCAAAATTTTATTTTTTATAGTACACATAAAATAAAGCATTTTAGAAAAGTATTCAGTAGAAATGTTCAAAGGTGCGTTTGTAAATTTTTATTACAACACTGGCTAAGGCGAACCTTGAAATAATTGGGTGAGTGATAATCATCGCTAACTTATAAATTTGCAGATTCAAGAACAGTTATTCTGTGAAGTCAACTTAAGTTAATTGCCTTACTTTTATATCACTCAGCAGATTCATTCAGGATTTGTAATTTGCGACGATTCTATTTTTTATTTCTACAACTGCTCTAAGATCCTAAGGGAATAATATTGTGTTAGGTAAGATATCTTTTTGTGAATCATGACAAATTTGTTAAGTTTTTACTACTTTAAATTCAAATTATTCACTGGATAAAATAAAATAAATAATATTTTTTACAGCTACATGAATTCCCATGCCAAGCGATGATGCCACGAGATTATGAAAAATTCTGTAGTTGCACTTGAAATTCATCGTTCTCGATTGGATAATTTTTATTTTAATGGATGGAAGTTTCAAGAATTAGTCATGGAATCGATTGCATGAGTTTACGTTATTTTGATCTGATGTGTAAGTGAACATAACGAAAAATGAAGAAAAACGTAACATATCGATCGATTGAAAGGGAAAAACACCTACTGAGCTGGCCCATGTGTACTCGGATTAGCACTATAAGAGGGGGGTTCTCTTTTCTCTCTGTATAATGATGCTCACTGAATGTCAATGTGTACCGATCGATATAACCTTTGCCCACATACTTTAATTTTTGATAAATGTGCCATGATTAGGGAGTCTGAAGTCTGAAGTTGCTATAAAGTGCTAATGTTGAAATGAACAACACATGTCTTAGATGCTGGACCAGATATCAGAGACCAAGTGTGCACTCAATTTTAATAAATATAATTCCTACAAAATAAATATTGTTTAGCGGAAGACTGTGTAAAGATCTCAAATCTTTTCAATTGAAAAAACTTTTTTTTTTTACTGAAAAAAAATAAAAACCTTAAAAAGACTATAATAGGAAGTTTTATCGATCGCAAGTCAATACACTAGAATTTTTTTCTATGATACGATTTATGCTGTCTCTTGATTTACCATTATCATAAGACAAACTGAGATATAAATGGCAAATCATTGAAGAGAATTCTTAACAGTAACCAGACTCCAAGGATTCAAAATTCAAATACAATTCTATTTGTAAATGCATACTATTTTAGTAACTTTGTATTTCTTATGATTTAATGTATATTCCATTGATATACATTTATTAAACTGTGTTACTGATATCGGTAGACTTTCATTTGAAGAATTAGATGATAAAAGTATAGGTTCGCATTGAAGATTGATCTATAATTCAAATTCTATTTGCAATTTGAAATTTTCAACATATCAGTCGATTAAATATGTTTCATTTTATACGAAATAAAACTCATAAATAAACGAGTATACGTTGCAGGCATAAAAAACTAAATTCACCTTCTCAATTCAAGGTACTTATGAATTTTTGAAAAAATTCACTTTTATTTATCGATGGAAGAACGAAAATTTTACGCTGAGCCCTTGCAACAGTTGTTGCCATTAGCACAAAGTTTGTGTGGAATATTGATCAGCTCCACGTACGAGAGGGTCGCTTTCTTCTTTCCCCTCCGCAGTAAAATCTTAAAAAGTATACGACACAGTTGAAGCGCTAGATTGTTCCCAATCCCGCAAAAAGAAATACATTTGTACCAAAAGATTATTTACATGATAATATAAAAATATATTATATTTGATAGATTACAAGATTGAAAGATTGTTACGACAGTTATTAAAAGAAAATTATCAGGGAGATTGTACATAAGTACGAATTTCTGAAAATATTAACAAGATTTTATTTCGTCAAGTCTGGTAAATAATTTAAATGAATTGGAGAGTTAAAGTTAGAGTGGCCGACAGTGACACGTTGATCTTTTACCAAATGTATAGATAAATTCAGAAATTTCTCGCGCGAGTCACTGACACATTTCACCGAGCTTAAATACAGAGCTGCATAATGTATACTGGTTTAATTTATAAGCGTTTATGAGCATGTAAACAGGTCCCGACACGTACGCCGATGCAATTTACTCTGAATTTCCCCTGTGCTTTGCCATTTCCCATCGTATTATGCGAATATAAACAGTTTGTTTAACAGGGTGCAAACTGACTCTGACGTTTATAGCTTATGCACGATACACTTTTTTTTAATGCTTACGAATGAGCGATGAAAGTTTAAATTCTTGAGTTTTTACGCTTGTGTTCGGCAGTAATCAAGTAAGTTGCATTTTATATATTTGATCCGATAAAAATCGATGAAATATGAGACATTTCGATGGGATCTCGTGCACGGACTTTTGAGTTGGTCCGAAGAATTGTATCATTCTATTATCTCTATTATTACCATAATTGTAATCAATAGGTCAGGTAAGTAAGTGGAAAAAATGAAAAGCAAAAGTTATAAATGCAGTTTTACCGATACAAGAAGTGACGATACTATGCGAGAGCAAAAACGAATAGGTAGACGAAATGGAGCTCTGCAAATCGATGATGTGTATACAGACGTGGAGCTGCGCTACTTGTTCGTCCAGGCTGCACGAACAACCACTAAGCTCGTTACCATCGACTATCCATCCGCCACGGAGACTCGCCCTTACGCGTATATCGCTCGAGTCAACTCTCGTTTTCCTTTGCCGTATAGGTAGCTACATACACGTTAAATATGTACTATAGGTGAGGGAGGCGAGCCGACACCAGACCGCCGACGCCGCCGACGCCGCAGCGCAACTATACTCCATGCTCGTGTGCGCGTGCTTACGTTACGACCGACCGAGTGTACAGGATGAATCGTTCGTGGCCTTTTTTGGGAGCGACTCACGGAATCGTGCTATATACATGGACCCAGGCATTATTATTCGATTCGTGGGTTGGGGTGCTTTTCGTTCTGGGGTGGATGGACCGAAGCTGGAGGCGTCCAACGATACCCGACACCCACGCCAATCGAATCGAATTGTCGACGTAGCTTGTCTTTCGCAGCTGATTCGAGGCTATTCAATGTAAGTATCTACAGAGAGAAAAGTAGAATCGATAGCGCTTACACAAGCAAACGGATGTCTCATTTTTGACAATTGGAAGCTCGGTAAATATGATTGTCGGCGATTTCTGAGGAATTTCAGCGCCGATGACGTATAGATAACGAATATAGTCTGTACATCGTCGACGTAGGAGCTCGTATCTATAGAGCATACCGAAACAAGTCGTAGGACGAGTACAGTCAATCTGCAGGTCCGAAAAGCACGCGAGCCTTTTCTTGAAATCACAGAGCAACAAAGCCAGCACGAAGGTGTTGGCGACAAGGTGTTGGCTTGCAGCTAGTGTGGATTAAAGCTCTGTAAAACTACACCGCGATGCTAATGATTTATCGCTTGTATTGGAAAAAATGAGAAACAAAGAGGGAGAGAGAGAGAAAGAGGGAGAAAGATGCAGCCCTGAAACGGCTAGCAGCTATTGAATATTTCCCTTGGCTCCGTCATACATGCAAGGGAAGAAAAGCGCCAGTTAGAAAAAAGTCAAAGGATATCCCAAATAAGGGGTATTAATAGATTCTGAAAAATACGTGTCTCGTCTATTTAGTATCCGACCAGGAGCGTGGGTGAGCGATATGATGCAGTGAGGCCGACCTTGACTGAATGAACTCGTGTGCGTGTGTGCATGTATATTACCCGCGCGCGCGCGCCTATCAGTGTGGTACGGCTACGTATATTCACGAGCTCGACTATCGAGCATAGATGACGATTGACTCGCTCGTGCTTGCGGCTTACTTTGGTCCGATTAGAGTGACGTCTCGACGACGTTTTAATGACGTTTTTTATGATAAACAAGAAAATGACGAGGGAAACAAAAGGAGCCACGGTGATGCAATTGTCTGTGTGTGTCTCTGAGCCGCCATCGATCAGCCGCATCCTCGCGCGCACGTACCAAACTACCCCCTCGCTCGTTGGAACAAGGGAGCCCCCGAAACTCGCACTGAGATCTGTTCAAAGTCTGTCCGTACAGTGGAGTCTGTACAAAAAAAAAATGGCATGCACCTAGCTCGCGATCCAACGCATCGTGATCGAGGAAAATGTTATGCATTACACGCAGAATCGTGATTGGAAGATAATGTTATATGCATGCCAGCCAAAGCTATAAGGGCTTATAGGTTTATCGAAATCAATGCTACAGAGATATAGGCTTTATCGATTCGATATTAATGTACTCACGAGTTCGGGCCCATCAGCCAGTTATCGTGGTAATCCGTGCCGAGCATTTTTTCCGCGTCATCGCCTTCTTTTTTCTATTTTTTTTTCAAATCAAAGCTCGACGATTTTTCTCCTCACCTTGTCTCTCTCTCTCTCTTTGGATTCTCGATTTGTGTCTGTCTCTGGGTTTAGCGTCGCCTCGTAGGTAGTAGTAAGTTTACGAAGCGATCGCTCTCGTCTTTCGATCGGTCGGAGCCACTGCAAAACCAACACGGCACTTGGAGCTTCGAGTTCTTTGCTGTGTGCTTCGCAAGAGCCAGGAGTCCGAGGCGCTCGACGGAGACACGATTCGCGCACTACCTTAAAAATGTGTTGGCTGCTCTGCCTTGGCTTGTCTACTTGCGCGAGTCGCCGTGTGTGTGTAGGTACGAGTAGGGTGTATGTGTGTGGGGGAGCTATATCGCGTACATATCGCGTACGATGTAGTTCGGGGCCGCCCGTTCGTGCGTGCGCTATTTCCAACATCGATCGTCGCCGGAGAGACGGCAGCAGCAGCAGCAGCAGCAGCAGCGCTAGTGGCAGCAACCCCCCTGCGTCGGTCTATATATCGGCTTATAAAACCTACCCGACGGAGTGCCGAGTGGTGTAGGTGGATATCTGGCCCGGCCGCGCATGTGCAGGCGTCGTGCCAGTGACGACTCTACGTGTGACGACACCTACACATAGTACACACACACACACATACACGGTAGGTGTTGTACGCACGCCAACGACAGAACGAAGCAACCCTCGTGACTCGTGTACGTAGATACGTATAGCAATTTCCCTGCGCCGAGGCGTCGACGCAGCTTTGCAGTTTGCAGCTTGCGCACACCGCGTCGAAAGCATCCTTCGATAAATAACAAAATATAATGCACTTTTGCATTTTCCACATCTCTTACGTTTTTGCATAAAAATGATAATTCGCTTGTTACACTTTTTACTATTTGACACTTTCGTGTCCGATGAAAGAACGTCAACTGTGCACGACTATTTTTCAAATATCCATTTGAGCAAAAACTTTTCACAATAATCTGCCTTTCACAGATCAATTTTGAAAATATACTTACGGTTTTACTTTTTATTTTGCGTATAATGACTTGATGATCTTATTTACCAGAGCAAATATTCTTGTCAAAGATACTTGTAATAAAATATAACAGTACTTATACGAGCGATACTTTTTGTTATTTTAATCAACTGTAATCGTCGCTTTCTCGTACTGGTCTTACATATTGCTTTTTCGACAAAACCGTGTTCGGGAGAAAGAGATGAGATAAATGTATCATCGTTTCTTATCATTTCACTCTTTTGATGAAAACTACTTTTCTAGACAAGGGATGAAAATTCAAATTGCGCCGCGTACATCTGGTAGTGCGCACAAGCTCCGTCGCTAATTACCGATCGAGCTTGGTCGACTGCACGACTCATCTATATTTTTGCACATACTCAAAGCGTGTTGTGTGTCCAACTGAATCCGCTGCACATAGACATAGTTAGTATACTTATATACTTTGCCTCCTTGTTGTCCGCCAGTCACAACTTGGGTGTCTGCGACGCTCAACTTAGTAATCGTTACGATTTTCTCATTGCAAGTGCCAGATAGTCTAGCGCCAACGTATATTCCATCAATTTCCTATAAATGGAAGTTTATGATCCATGACATATTGGAATAAACGCATTGAAAATACTAATAATTACTAGGTGACTATTGTTCCTTAAAAATAACACATCTCCCTACCCATTCTTTTGTCAAGTTAGAGGTTATCATTTATGCCGCATGCTCTGCCTCTGCCCGCTACCGCCTGTTCGATAATGGCGACGACGCCGTAATTTCGTCGTAATACGTCTCTCATTTTCACCCTTGACATCAAATTGGTCATTTTACGAATTAAACTATTCTCCTGTTTGGATCGTGCCTGTGTTCGTTTCCTACTTCTTCTAATTTATTCTTCTTGTCAACATTATTCTTAAGCTTTTTTTTTGATGTGACTGCCCCCCACTTAACAATAATTAAAATTTACTCTGTTTTACTCTTTCAAAGATTGAAATCGTGCTAAGCAATGGAGAGAAAAGGGCCTAGGAGTCCACCTAGTGACGATTCTCCAGATGATAGGAGAAGGAATAAAAAGTATGATAGATCTCCATCGCCTAGAAGAAGATACAGAAGATCTAGAACTAGAAGTAGATCGGTCTCTAGATCACCCTCTAGTTCCAGGGATAGGGGATCTAGGAGGAAAGAAAATGAATGGAAGACCAGTGCACCACCGCCACCACCACCACAGACTACCAATAAAGCTGTAAATCCACCTACTAATACTGCTTATCCTCCAAGACCTGTAATGCCGCAATATACTGTAAGTTCTTATATTTATAAACTGATAAACATTTATTTTTTCATTATGTAATCTTTAAAGGCTCCTCCGCCAAATACCAGTCAACCACCACCACCTATGCAATATCCACAAGGTTATGCCAATTACACCAACTATTCAAACTATAACCAAGCTTACCCGGACTACTCTGCATATCAGCATCAAGCTGCTCCAGGATATAGAAATGTAAGTTCAAAGTATCTTGAATAGTTCTTTGCTTATAATTTATTTAAAAGTCTCAATCTTTTGTGTACTACAATTATAAGTTTATAAAACCATCATGACTTCTGTCATATAATAATTATTTGTATTGCAAAATACGTTAGATAGCAAAAATAATTATATCAGTATAATGCTTAATAGCATGGTGTTATTAAAGTAAGTACTGAATATTTTTTGGGTCTAAAACTATTTTATAAATCATTAATGGGACACAATTTATAATCAGTAATATTTTGGAACTTAATAAAGGTAAGCCAATTAAGATTAACCATACCTGATATTAACAAGAAAGATTTTATTTGCCTTTCAGGATTATCCACCACCTAATTGGCAAGGCACGGTTCAGTATAACAGCCAACCACAGCAACAACCGCAGCAACTTCAGCAGCAAGTTACTGTTGCTACAGCAGCAGTGAGTCAACCCCGTGTTGTTGATCCAACCCAAGCTACAATGATGGGCGTTACAACTGCTGGTAGAACTGATGATAAAAAAGAAGGTACTAAGTTAAAAAATTGTAATTAAAAATAAAAAAGAAGTAGTTACTAATAATTAACTTTTTCCAGCGGAACTTAAACAGCAAAAAGCGACACTGGGTAAACAACGAGAGGACTATGTTAAAAAATGTTCAACCCTGCAAAGAGAATTAGAAATTTTACGCAAACAATGTGAAGAAATTGGTCAAGATGGAGGTCGAGAAAACAATCGCATTATCAAAGAAAACCAAAAACTTCAGGTTTGTTGAAAACTTTATCTTATTTTATGTAAATATTCATTTCGAAGCCAATATAAAATGAAGATATATAATATACAAGAAAATACCTTACTTTTAGGTGAATAAATGTATAAAAGAATTGATTGCAAACTTATAAATGTAAAAGATGTTCTTTTCAATATTATAGGTGCAGTGTGTGTTATTTTTTCTTTTATTCATAAACAATGTTAATGTTGAAATTTGATTTACATCAGTGTAAAGTAGAATTTTGTAGAAATCTTCAGTGACTTGAAAAATCTAGCATAACTAGTGCAATCTATTCGACTGCAACTATTTTATCAGCTATTCTAAATCTCTGTGTTTATTGGAAACAACACTCATGCGGAACATGAAGATTCCTTTAGTCATTGTTTTGAAAAAATTAGGTTTTGAAATTTTACAAAACATTAAGACTTAATAAATAATATTTAATTTGAGGTTCAAAGTAATGGTTACATTTTTTGATTTATATAATTTTAAACTATTAACTAAAAAAATGTTAATCAAAGTAATTCAACAAACATTCTCTCAAATTGCAGGCTGAAATACAAAATAAAATGAAATCAATTCATAATATAATCGACATGCTGACTGGCATTATTGGAGACAAATTGAGCGTTGAAGATTTAAAGTTAAAGTACAAACCTGATTCAATTAAGCGTTCTAGAAGCCCCAGAGAAGATAAATCACTAGTTAATACGCCTAATTCTGACATTCGTGATGAAGACAAACCAACTTACAACTTTGTACATTATGATCCAGAAATGCACTGGTGTAAAATTTGTGATATCTTTCCAAAAACTGCCAAGGAATATCTTAATCATTTGCATAGTAATGAGCATAAGGAAACTTGTTTGGTAAGTTTGTTGATATATTTCCCATTATTCGTAAATAAAGTGAAAATCTAAGAATTCTTTTAATTTTTCAGGAGCGAAAAATAGTCGACATGCCGTGGCATGACAGCAAAATTGAATCTCGTGAAAAAGAAGTTACATTCTATCCTGGTCTACCTACGAAAAGAACACCGATTAAAGGTATGCTTGTTTCCAACTTATTTGTATTTTTTCATAACTAATTTGTTTATCGAGCCGTAGAGTTTGTGCAGATAAAACTGCCTATGTGCTTGGTATGTATAATGAAATAGTAGAGATTTATATTCGACATCTAACTTATTAATGTTATCGATTGCGTACTCTACAAGAGACGTGCGTACCTATTATTCGGAGAACAGATGGTGCTTTTGTGCAGTCTTAATTTTTGGGACAATAATGTCCATCTGCAGTATTAATCGAAAAATCGGGCTTCATCAGACATGAAACCTTCGACCTAATTGTGTTGCATGCAATTTTTTATGTTTCAAGAAAAAGTGATGCATAGTTGAAAAATATGAAATTTTATCAAGTGCTTTGTGATGTTTTAAGTGTAACGTGATATTGCGTACAAAAAGTGTCAAAGAAATTATCAACATGTGTGCATAGTGAAAGAATTAATTCATCTCTATGAGAATGGTCACAGAAATTGGCATACTTTTTTATCCAATTTTTCTAAATCAGTGCTATACAGTATTAAGATATATGAATTGATGTTCTATTTAGTATAATTGCGTCAATTTTGTATTTGCTTATGAAAATGTAATTTTCAAAACAAAAAAAATAATTTTGTATAAATAATGTTAAAAAATTTTGTCTTTACTTTAACCTTTTTTAGAATGCATCATTCTCAAGTGCAAAAACTCCAGTCACAGATGATGATTTTGCTCTCTGCAATATTAATTTATAATTATTTTTTCAGAAATACCAATGTTGATTAAAGTTATTATTAAATTTCTTGAATATTTTCTATAGAAAAATCTATCTAACACAGCTTGTTCTTGTTTGTTGTATAGGCTTGCAGTTCTTCAGTCCGTCCACAGCTTGGTATTGTAAATTATGTCATGCATGGATTGGAGACCTTCATTGTGCCAGTTTGCATTTGAAATCTCGCCGCCATTCAGAAAACTTCAGTGTAAGTACTCTGTCAAGATTTAATTATATTTTGTACAGAAAAATTTTAATTTATTGAAAATATATTGAACAAAATTGTAATTTTTTAGCGATTTGTCGATCAAAATCCTCATTGGGAAACTGATTGGATGGCAGATCGTGAAAAAGCTTTTTCTGAAGACAAAAATAAGCAGATTCAATTAGAAATTCAAAAACAAAGTGATAGTAAAGAATCTAAACCAAAAAAATCGAAAAAGGCTAAAAAAGCTAAGAAGAAGTCAAAAAAGAAAAGTAAAAATAAAAGCAGTTCCGAGTCTTCTAGTGACTCTGAGAGTATTGCAGAATCTGACAATGCCAGTAATGGACTAATGATTGAGGATAGCTCAAAAAGTATACGCGTTGCTATGAGGAACAAAAATAAGCCTGCTGGACATCCTTTGACACCTAGTGATTCTGAACGATATGGTAAAAATTCATTCATTAATTAACACATTGAATCAAATAAAGATGAGAGTTGTAATTTAAATTTTTAATTCACAGTTAATAATAAAATCGACGAGGACAGAGCACTGGTTAATTCATTAAGAGAGAAGATGAAAGTCAGACAAGAACTTGAAGAACAAGAACAACATCGACAAATAATGTCAAAACCACCATCTCCGGTACCACAACCGGCGCCAGTACCTTACATTCCACCTGATCCTATGCCTACATGGAGTAAAGATAATAATTCCAAAAATTTCTGGTTGAAAAAAGATGAAGACAACAAGCCTGTAAAAATAGAAGAATTGCCAAAACCTCATATGGGTTTTTGGACGAAGCAGCAAATAGCTTCACTCAAAGACAAGGACGTCAAAGAGAAAGAAAGAGAAAGAGATCACGACAGCAAGGATGGCGATAAAGATCGGGAACGTGATAGGGATATTAGGGGTCGGGACCGTGACAGAGATCGTGACAGATATCGCGATGAAAGATATAACAAATGGGATAGGAAGGATGATCGATATAAAGACGACAAGGATCGATATGATCGTGGATGGGATCGTCGAAGAGGAGGCGGTAGAGATTATTATGATGGCAGGAATAGAAAGCGCGACGACTCACCGGTCAAAGACGGTGGTCGCAGCAATTGGGATCGTGAAACTGTGAGTCCTCGCCGTGATCGAGACCGTGAGCGTGAGCGTGAACGTGAACGTGAACGTGAACGCGAACGCGAACGTGACCGAGATCGTGACCGTGATGATAAGTACAAGCGTGATGATGACGAGGATAAGAAAAGCGACCGAAAGAAAAGTCAACCACCGCAACCGGGGAAGAAACCATTGAATCAATCACCCGCACCATCTTCTAATAGCAAAAGTAAACTCCCGTTCATTGGTAGATTACCATTATTCAAGAAAAAGGAGGATACCAAGCCAGAAAAAGAAATAACTGCAGTTCCGTATACTCAAAGTAAGTTCGAGAACACCCCACCAGTTCCTACGAATATCATCAATCCCCCCGGTGTTGTTCACGTACCGAAATTGGCTACTCCTTTGGTACTTCCTAGCAATGGAACCGCTGCAAAAGTTCAACAAATAAAATCAGTAACAATGATACCATTGAAAGAAAAAGACGAGCCAGTGGATATGGAAATAGAGGATCAGTCGGAAGAAGCGGATATAGAGCAGAACCCGGAGGATCCTGATTCGGAAAAATCAAATGTGGATGTCAATGTTACTCAACCACCACCAGGCTATCCCAAAAAAGCAACCGAACCGACACCTTTTGTACATACAGGACCACCTCCACCTTTCGTAACCAATTCATTTTTAGCTCCACCAACAAGTCAGGTTGGTTTTGATTACAACTGATTGAACTTTCTTTATTCATCTCGCAAGTATCAACAATAAATTTATTTTTTACAGCCACCCCCACAAATGCCACCAACCTTCATGCCGCCTCCTATGCAAATTCCTCCTCCAGGAATGTATGTTAACCCGCCGCCACCTGTTGCTGAGCAACAGCAGATGATGGTAACTGGAGTACCAGCACCTGAACTCACCACTGAACAAGTCGCCCCTGTTGAACCTGCCAAACGAGCAGATGGAGCACCTCTACCTGAAGATCTCCAAGAAGCTTTGAATATCATATTTCCAGACGAAGCTGCTGCAGAGGCTGCGGCCCAACAAGCAGCAGTTCAAGCACAAGAAACAGCTATGATGTACGGTGGAATGTATGGTACTGTATATGCTGGTTTCAGTGCTGATTACACAGAACCACCACCAGAAATTACTCAACAGAATCCCGAGCAAGAAGCCGACGCTGGGCCCGATGATCTAAGAATGTTGGGTATCGACGAGGGGGATACTATTTTATAAAGAACTACAATATGTATTTTAGGAAAAAGAAATAATTAAAATTGATTGTGGTGGTTTTGAGAACGATAGTGTGATGGAAACAAATTTACGTGTACATTCTTACTATTAGAAAGGGTTTTTTTACCAATGATCGCATCGGTTGGTACTCATTTTAATGTAGATAAATGATACAAATCATTTAATCGTCGACCAGGATTTTGATGTTAATATGTACCAATTACATTATCTTGTTTAATGACTACTATCACTAAAGATCAATTCGTTTAAATTTTTTGTCTTGAATTAATAATGAATTATGCATCCATTATCACAATGCGAAGTGATAATGTATTGAGCATGTATGCATTATAAAATATGTTCAATGCTCAATTTACAATGTACATATCTAACTTGACTTTGATTTTTGTTAATATTCAGTTTGTCACATATGTGCACCGCAAAAATTTCAAGTCAGTTTGTCAGTTTGACGATAATGTTATTTTATGAAAACTTATTGATCCTTGTGAACGTATTTTACAATTCTATAGTATTTATTGCACCTTAAAACGTTTTTTGAATTTTTATAATTAAGTCATACTTATAAAATTATTTTCACAATAAAATCTAGTTGATTACATAAGGATTTTTTTGTATTTAAAGTATATAAAATATTCAATTTCACGTAATAAAACAATTCTTGAATGTTGAATAAAAGCTTTCGATGTCACTTTTATTTAAACCACATTTACATTTTGATTTTGAATTTTTCATCATTATGTACGCATGACTACGTGAAAAAATATTCTTTCATTTTAATCTGAAATAATTTTATTACCTTTTTATTCGAATGATATTTTAATAACAATTATTGTATTTAATTGATAAAAAAATTAAATAGTTATGATTTCAATTAAAGAAACATGTACAAACGCTTTGCGTCATATATTATCAAAAAAAGTGAAATTACGTGAGCGCGGCCTTATTACGTGACTAAAGACAATTTGATAAATAAGAAAAATATTTTTTTTATTTTATCGTTAATATTTAAGCGCGAGAGAATTTAGAATAAATCATTAGTCGTTTTGGCGAGGTTCGTCATAAAAGTTAATTCAATTTGAAAATCTAAAATGAGTTACTTGAAGTATACTCTTTTATTTTCGTGCATTCTGGTTCTACAAGTAGTAGCCGAAGAAAACGACAACGTGAAAATTAATGTTGGTGTAGCTCAAAATATCCAAAATGAACAACAAACTCAACTGGAAAATCAGCAACATCAGATTGAACAAAAAATAAATACAGAAGAGCAAGCAGCCGGCGAATTACAAGGAAAGCTCGAAGCTGATAACATACTGGCTAAGCTCCATCTTCATCATCAAAGTAATCCGGATGGACATTCGGAAAAAAGTCTACCCGACACTCTGCCATCACATCACGAAAAACTTCCTGGTCACGTGCTGGTTTAAAAATTTGTAATCTATGTGCTTTGTAATAAAATATTTAAAATGTCAGTATGCTTATTATACGTGAAAGTATGCTTCAAAGCATAATTTTAATCGTCTTTATTTTCAATAAATAAAACATTTTCAAAAGTATATTCAATTTTTGCGATAAATCTTACAATTTATTCAAACATTATAACTAGAAATCACAATTAATTACCTGCTAAACCAGCGCAAACGTATTCAAATTTACTATAAAATTTTAGGTATAAACTTTATGAGTAGCTAAATGTGCAACAATTAATCTAGTAACTACTAATGCCCAAAATTTTTTGTTTTACTTATGAATTTAAAATGAAAATAAGATTAAATGCTCTAAGGGCATAATAATTATCAAGTATCTGGAATAAATTGAATAAGGAATGACTGAAATGTGATAGGACATTAAGAAGTTTGAAATATTTAAATTTACAAATAATATATTGTTTTAGAAGAAGATATTGAAAAATCCTAGAAGTTCACGTTTGAGATTATCATACAAAATTATTTCTATCTCATAATAAACTTATTTCAGAATAAATAAATATGGCAATAAAATCAGGAAATATCAATAAGTTGGGAATATAAATAATTTTAAATGCATTTTTTTCGACGATTTCGAACTCATTTCAGTCTCATGGAAAATTGCGAAGGACATATTTGAACGAAATAAAAAAATTAAAATAATAATAATAGTTATAAAACCAGAATTGATGACTTATTCAAAAATATTTCAAAATAAAAATTAAAATGTAAAAAACACTGAATATAAACAACATCATTAAAATTTCTTAACTATCACAACATAAGTTTACATATTCATACTAGAGCTCTTCGTGCATTCTTAAATTTGTAAAACAAGTCCAGCACTAGAAATATTATCACCTCCTCCAGCAGTTTGGCTTGCCTCTGTACACACAAGTACAGGAGCTACACACATATCAACTGCAATTCTATGTCCACCTATGTGAAAAGCCTCATCCCAGCAGGCTACTGGTTTTTCCACATTTAAGGGTATCCTTGTACCTGACACAATCGATGTGGTGAAACTATCATCCATAATAAGCGTGGCTTTTTGCAAGTCAATCTGTTGGATTATTAAGGATTATGGATTAAGTATTTAGTTTTTCTGATAATTTTATAAATTAGAAATGATTTTATATACTTACATTGCTAGTGCTGCATACGTGTCTATGAGCTGTCAATGAAGCTTTTGCAGCTGCTGCTGCAGTATTTTTCCAAGTGGATTCTTTAACAGTCAAAATTGCTTGGTAGGCCAAAGTATGTACATGAATTCTAGTTAAATCCCTTGTTTCTTCATCTCCTTGACCCCTACTTCTAATAAGTCTGAATAGTGCTCGCATTTGATCAAGTACAGTAGCAACTCTTGGAGAGGAATCGGCCACTAATGATATATTTCCATAGTACAACGAATTGTGAAGATTTGCTATTTCTTGTTCATTCATACCCAGGCTGTCTGCATATGGTATGATGAGCTCATTTAAATCAGAAACAAGACTATTTTCAACAAATGAAGCCATTTCAAAATGAATTTTTGTAGAACGAGGTTGACTACGCATTTGATTATTAATAGATTGAAGGCGTTTAAGACGTTCTCCATCAGTAAATGGAAAACTATCCATCATTTGTAGGCCACTTATTATCAACAAATCTGGTTTATACTCAGGTAAAAGCTTAGAAAGTTCTTCTAAACCCCCAGCTTTTGGATTATGATTATCACTATGAATTATGTATCTAAAATTTCAAATTATCAAACATTTAATACTTTTGTGGTGTATTCAAAATAATAAAATCTTTAAAAAATCTTTAAAAATTTACCTATTTGCTCTTGGGCTAGTGTAAGGACCCCATTGTTCGCCTCTTTTATATTCCAATATCAAGTGAATATCATCGCGCTCCACTTCACCTCCAATAACCGTAACAGCTTCAGGCATAATTTGCAGTAAAGAGGATGTCATTTTAGCTGCAAGTACAACATCGCAACCTTCTCGAACTAATCTCATAGCCATTACTGCAGCATTGCCTCCAATAGTTGAGTATGAGGATGGAAAAGAACGAGCAGCAGTTACAAGATTGTCGAACAATGTGTCATTTGGCATGTATCGTCTAAAATGAAAATTAAATAAGCTAATTTTTAACAGAAAAAATTTTGATTTAAACTTAAACTTACTCTGCAGCAGCTCCATGTCTAAAATAATAGGCAAAACTTTTCAAGAGTTCATCTTTGGTATTTAATTCATTAAAGTGTTGTGGTTCTCCAACATCCTCAGAATATTCTAAAATATTACTAGCTTCTATGTAAATATCAGTACAAATACCATAACCAATCGCAACTTTAGGCCTTGGATTAACAGCATACTTATTTTCTAATTGCTCTAAAGCTTTCAATACAGAATGCAATCTTTTTTGTAATATATCACTTGAATTTCTAAAGTACAGTGCAGCTAAAACTATTAGCACAGAAAATATCGTGCCAAGTTTCAATTTATTGACACCCATTTTTGCATTTGAATCTGAAAAATTAATGTATTTATGAAAATTTTATTTTTTCTTCAAATTTGAGTTCACTTTTTCACGCTCTATGGCACAATAAATTAAAGTGACGAATTAAAATTTATTCAAATCACGAAAATTTGAAAGAAAATTTAACGTTTAATCATTACTAGATATAAAACATAAGAAAGTTGTAGCTCAAAGTCAACGTTAACGCAACCGGTCAATAATCATTATATCGTAATAGCGCATTAATTCGTAATTGTAAAAAACGAACTGTACATGAAATCGTTGAGCATTGCGGTAGTCACGACTCATGAGCGGTCTATAACTTTTCGTGCAATAAAAAAAAACATTTTGAAAATGACGTCCACCTACTTTTTAGTTTACTTCACACAGATGCACTGAAGTATACTATTGAGCAATCTGCATGATTGCATCCCCAATCGAGGATTTAAGCACGACTCGAGTACAACTTGTGTCGTGAGAAATGCGACTAATGCGAGCGATACTAGGCAGGGTAAGGTGAAATTTCGCTGATCTCATGACATATATCGTAAGCGAATTGAGTGAACTTTGCAATGACAGTTCACGTGGTTGCTAAAATTCTCCAAGAGCAGGTATTCGATACGGGCCATTGCAGCTAGACCTTAATCGGCTGGACAGGCTACCAAAATAACAATCATCATTACATTCATTACGAGTCATCGGCAGTAGCCGCTATATAGCACAAACTCATATGAGTAAGTATGTAATACTTATACTTATATAGTGGTCGGCGATTGCAGAAACGCGAAAAAAGGCAGCGTAGCGCAGTAATAAAATCGACTCGAGTAGCGCAGTATCTATTGCCACGTTATCCATCGAGGCTCGCGCAAGAATGCACGTCGGCGCAGAAAATTCGATTGGTCCAGTGTCGTGTTTCAAAAGTGCCAAATTGTATCGTTACCGAGCCAAGTGCTAACAACGGTATTTTATCTCGATGTTCCATCCTATTGTCGATTGTATTTTCGATCGTTTTGCATAGGTGCGCGCGTGTGAGTTATTACGTGTGTGGTTTTATATACAAATAGCAGAGAGTCACAAACGCACTTGTCATCTCTTATAGGCACTCAGTTTCTCAAGTCGTCTCGCTGATCGCGCTCTATATGGATCTCTCTATGTGACTGTTACCAGAGACAGTCTCATGGGGGCCGTTGCTGCTAATTCGTTGTATTACTCTACCGATGTAAGTCTTTCACGCAATTTACAAAACGATTACCTGCTACACTTCATCAGTCGCATTTAAGGTTAAGCAAATTGAAATTTAGACAGCGATCGGGGACTCGCACGTATATCATGTACGCGCTCGACCGATGATTGCTGTTAATTGATCGCGATGAAAATGTATCAATCAATGAGATAGTTTGTTTGCTCGTGTGGGTAGAGTATCGAGGCTGCGCTCACTGCATGTATCGAGTAGCACGACGGCCAGAAGAAGCGTATCGCGTTTATATAATCTATTATTGTCATTGATAATTGCAAGGCTCGAATATAGCGCACGAGAGACGCGGAGCGAAGCAGCCATCCTTATATATATATTCTACGCATTCACGCACACCCACGAGCATATAGCTATATATATGCGTTTGTGTGCACACGACCGTCGCTGTAATGTGCTGTGGTCTTTTCGCGGCTCGACTCCGGCGGCAGCAGAGTTCGATATAAGACCGCTACCGCACCGCGCGCGAAGGTAACAAAACCTGCAGTACACCTTTCACGCGATCTGCTCGTGAAGGATAGCCACATACACGAGCGAAATCCGTTTTCGATCAGAAGCTGAAGCAAACGAAAAAAAAAGAAAGAGAGAGAGAGAAGGAAAAAAATCAACAGCACGTGCGTGCACGCGCGCGCCGAGCCGAGAGAGCTGCTGACGTAAATCGATTTTTTATGCCGATGCAAAAAAAAAAGGAAAGAAGGGATCGTCGTTCGCGCGTCGCCGCGAACAAAACCATTTGACGTTTCCGTAGCGCTGTCTCCAAATATTGTCTCGCGAATCTTCGGGCTGTACATTATTCGTGTCGTTGACACTCGCGTTTACGTTATACACATTTACATTACGTTGATTGGGGCAATAAAGCCGCGCGCGATCGTATCGCTCGTCAGACTCGACACAATCTTTGAGTAAACTCGCGGATAACGACGATAACGAGAGTGCCTTCGCACGCTCACGTGCACGCCAGTACCACTTTGAAACTAAAACTACCTGGAGCGATTGAATCTTCGACTATATCCATCGGAATATTTCAGTTGCGTGGTGATCCTTCTTTTGACAAATACCCGCACCACCTTTTTTTTGCCTATCGCTCGATCGAGATGGTGAGATACACGTTTTATCTTCGAGAAAACTATTGTACGTCTAATCTATTGTTACTTCGGCGTAATTCATTCAAGACCGTCGTGAAATTGTTTTCTTGACGTTTCTAATTTACTCTAGGTACCTTTAAATATGTAGGATAATCTTGTAAGCTTTGTCACTGCGTTTAGAAATGAAACTTCGTATACGGCATTTATAAAAATCAAACATTTTTTATTCGTAATTAAAACATTAATTACTTCGTTATTTCAACATTTCTATTTATTCAGTGTGCTCTTCTTTGCTTTCATACTCTTCACACATATTCACTTCATTGAACGAGTAGTGGAAAATATTTTTTACCGTATCTGAATTCATCGCTAGATATCGCTCAGTAGTAACCTGTTGATATTAACATTATTAATATTTATTAACGAATTCTATGCAAAGATTTTAATAGATACCTCGTCGCCTATTATATTTTTTGTAGTTTTTCGCTTTGTTTTTTCCAAAAAATCCTCCGCCACCGCCTCCTCCACCACCGCCTCCAACTCCGAAAAGTCCTTTTTGTTTTCCGAAAAATCCTCCTCCGCCGCCGCCACCCCCACCACCGCCGCCTCCAGCTCCGAAAAGTCCTTTTCGTTTTCCAAACAGACCAACTGCACCTCCTCCACCGCCACCACCACCACCACCACCACCACCACCACCGCCGCCGCCTCTAACTCCGAAAAACCCTTTTTGTTTCCCAAAAAGACCAACCGCACCTCCGCCACCGCCACCGCCACCGCCACCCCCACCACCCAAACCAAAAAATGTTCTTTTTCTCGCCTTTTTCATCAATTTTCTTTGTCTGTAAGGACTTAAGTATGGATTATAATAAGTATTGTAATTTTGTGCATCAGACATATCTAACATGCTTAGCAAGGTCAGAGGACCTATAAATTTACTATGGCTATTTGAAAAAATGAAATAGCTATTAGCAATATTTAACAAAACTATTGTCAGAGTTACTCCGGTTTTTGATAATTTTGCACCAAAGCTCAAACTTTTCGATCCATCGACAGCGTATCCTGAAGAAATTTTTATTCGGTCAGAGAAAATTTAAGCTACATTTGAAATAAATAAAATGCTATACGTACCATAATGATCGTAAATCAGCAACCGTATTAATATTACGCCGATCGTAAATTTTACAAACGATTCTAAACATAACTGAAACTGAAAAATTTGCTTAATTTGAGTAACTTTCATTACACAATGAATAATTTGAAAGAAACAATAGATTGTTCGAATACAAACTTTCATCTTCAAAGATGTTGGACCGATTGTTTTATCACTCGTTGGTGCTCTTCTTTTTATATACCGCGGTTTTATTCGAAGACATTGAAGTTTTATTTCAAACTTCAATAATTGAAGTGCATTTGAAGGATATCTTCCTTACAAGTTACAAGTAGGGCAAGAACATTTGCATATCAATTTGAAGTAACCACGATCTCGCGCACCTGCAGTGATTTTTTTCTCGAGGGTCGGCGTTGGTTAGTTTCTTCATAGCCTCTAAATCGAAGGATTATCCCAATCACTATTTTTAATGACTCGGCTCGAAGAAAAATTCGAAAGTATTCAAAAATAATCGCACGGCTTAAAAGAAATGTGAATAAATTTTATTTTATTTCGGCTTGAGTTGGTTTTCAAAATCAATATTTACGCGCTCGTGCGGTATGCGTAATTTCCATTTGAACGCATGAGACAAGAATGCAGACATCGAGCCTCGAGCATATTCTCAAAAACCTCTCGCGCGCAATAGCTGTTTTCTCACACGGAAAATCGGATTACGTCGGATTTTCCCTACATTCTAATTCTCTGTCTTCCTCTCGTTCCCCTTGTTCTTCCCATTTGTGCACACATCCACACACACGGTCAGAGGTCCACAACGATATACTTATTATATTGTACGCCCCGAAAAAGTTGAATATTCAGCGGAGAGGGGGCCGCGCTTTCTGGGCCTCAATAAAAAATCATCTCGTTCTCCCCTCCCCTCATTGTGTTGTGCCTCTATCTTTTTCTCTTTTTCTTTCTCTGGCTCTCTTGTATATACAGGTTTTTTTCTTCAAAGCCGACTCGCTGACGCCACAGTATTCTCTTACGTAGTGTTGGTGCAGCTTGTAGCTGAGCTCGCCACTTTAGTCTTCGTTCGTCTCCCAAACATACAACTCGTTCCGTCAGTTGAAAATTATTTCGAGCAGTTGCAAGTGTTGTGCATGTGTTCACGCTGTTGAGTGTTATTATTGATAAAAGTTTACGCGATTCAATAGTTACATTTATCTCGAACCTAGTGACACGAGGTACATTTTAAAATTATTCTGTAATTTAATTTTTAGTTAAACGTTCTTGTTTCTTTCTCTCGAAGACTTTTTTCTATCAAAAATCAACCATTGACTTGGTAATAACTTTTTTAAAACCTTGTTCGCTGGCGAGTCCTCATTTCATTATTCCAAGTTGTATCGGAACAAGTTACTGTCTAATGCTGAAAAAAATTTCGGAATATTTTTGAAGCAAGCTCTACACAGATCTTACGAACGAAATGAATTCCCGCGCTTATTGCTCGTGTACTTTTGTCGATAGATCAATCAGAGTCGGGAAAAAGTTGTTTTCTAAATAAATTCATCATAATCATGGAAAAATGTGATATTTTGAAAATTTTAACTTTTTAAAAAAAAACCAATAAACATGATTAAAATTTAATGAAAATGAATGCCATGGTGGCGAACATGAGACGTGCGTCTGATAAATGTACATTTATCGAAAGCGATAAGCTTCAGAATAGATAGATTGGGTGGTAAACGTGAAGCTCGAGTGATAAGACGAAGTAGAGAAGCATGCCAAATTAACTCGAATGCCAAAGAAGGAGAAAATAAGCCGATCGCAAGGAAAAACCGGTATTATAAGATGGTTTACCGAGGGCTAGAAAGCAATCAAGAGAAAATATAGTCCGTATACGTATGAATGGATGCTGTAGGAGAGATAATATGCATCATTCGGTTCAAGGTCGAATCCTGAAAGATCGTGGCACACCCCCCACCAGCTTTTGTCTTGGTTTGCGCCAAGTGCGCGCGTGTTACCGCCACCATGTACACCAGTGCCACCGCCGATGACGACGACGACGATGATGCAGCAAGATCGTTTGCTGTATAATATGCCACATATCAAAGGGTCGAGTCGATCGCGCTCTCTTGCTACCGGTACCTTACACACCGATGCCTATAGTTCTAAGCCGTGTTTCACTTACATAGCCACAATTCAAATATTTGTCCCGATGCCGTGAGTGAGAGCGGCGAGTACATTGTTTTGATGCCGAGATTTCTAATTGCTTCGCGGCAGGGATCATCTTTTTTCTACCTGCTTTTCTTTTATTCATCGATCAACGTGATTCGACTTATTTGATTCGATATCCAACATAATCGCATCTATATAATAGCAAGAACCGATTTTGATTTTCGACAAAAATCCATCGGTTGCGACACTCTGCCTCTTCGCCGAAGTATCCTCTTGTTCTCGGTAAGACCATTATATCGGGCTCCGCTAGCGAAGATTTGTCGTTCAGGATATTATATATATTTATATATATATAGCGCACGACTGCCGTATATGTACAACACGTGGACAGGATACGACCAGAGAGCGCGGCATATTTTGTTTTTTTTTTCCTTCGTTTTTTTCACAAATTTGCTTATACAATGTAAGAAAATAGTTTTCACAGCTGTTTTGCGTTATAATATGGCGCGCGCCAAAGAGCCGCACACGTTGCGCTCGTTCGTGTATGCGTATATGTTGTATCAAAAACACACAAACACATACACCAGCACGACCTATACACAAAAGATCAACTGTTGCGACATTCGCTATTTTCATTGTCCGTAATAGATACGCATTGAGACCGAGGGTGGAGAAAAAAAAATAAAATAAAAGAGACGAAGATCGAGAGAAGGAAAAAATATCGTTGGACAAATTTTCTAACGTCTTTTAAGCGCGACCGATGTGTAAACAAAAGCCCAAGCGCAAAAATCTCGAATATATATGAGTGAAAAATCTCGGGCTCGTTGTCAAAGTGTCAGGTGTGCGACGCGTGTCTCTCGGTACAAACACACTATGCACGCACACGCGTGTGCGCGCGCGCGATCATTATGAATATTCATCGTTTACCTATATTTATACGCGCATTTATGTTCATGCGCGTCGAACAGGTTTCCCCCTTTGCGCGATAATACTGGTTTAAAAAATGCCCCTCTCCAGCTCGTGAGCGCGCGCGCGCCCGTATTAAACATATATATACCTACTTACATCTATAATACTTCTTTCAAGTATCGTTTTGCATACGCCTATAGAAAAATGTGTAAGTCTAAACTTTGACTCTGTACTGCTGCTGCTGCTGCTGCTGCTGCTGCTGCTGCTGCTGCTGCTGCGCGGGCATCTCCTCGGCACATTACACCGACTCCGGTTACATTGAAAAATACACTATAGGCGAGCTGAGCGCGCGTCTCGAGAGTACACGCACGCGTCAAGTGCGCTTTTAGCAGCTCAAAGGAAGAGAGCTCGGGCAGAATTTGCAATTTCGGATTAATTAAAGGGTCGAAAACGTTCTCCCGGGCACCGCACCGCCGCTATTATGATTCAGCTACCTACGGTATGATGCGTGAAAAAATTCATTTATCGATCGCTTCTCTCGAGCTCTCGTAATGATTACAACGTTTGCCTGCTTATGTATACACGAGCCGCAGCCACAATATCAGCGGCAGCCGCAGCAGCACAATATGTATCGTCATAATTGGAAACGTTACGTGAAAACCGATCCACGCATATCCAGCAAGTATCGAATTACCTGCCTCGAACTCTCCATCTCTCTCTGTCTTTCCTTCTCTCTCGCTCTCGTGGTTCGCGCGCGGCTACATCGCGTATCAGTTCATCGTTTAAAAAATACTTAATCATATTGTTTTTATATACATTACACAAATATAAAGCATCGAAGGCAGCTGCAGATAGGCGCACATATTAATACAAGTTGCGCTTTATCGTTGCCATTTTACTCGCACACACTCATAGGCGTTTGCATGCGCGCCACACACGGTATCTCTCTTTCTCTCTCACTTTGTGTCCGCGTTTTATTTTTAGTTTATATACATGTCTCTTTCTTTCTCTCTCTCTCTCTCTCTCTCTCTCTCTATGCGGCTTTGCACTCGTCAGGGATGCGTTATACGGGACAGCAACAGTTGCTGTCTTATTTTACACCATGCAAACTTCTTGCTCGCTCCGTAAATTGTTTTTCTTGCCCTTAATTGCGTTACGAACTATTGCTACAATAATATGTAACTCGATTAATTTATTTAAAATATCTTCGCTAACGTCCATGATTATTTATTGTCTGTTGCAGCGGCTGCGATAAAGCTCTCGCGCTCGAGACGTTACGTGCAGTCGACGTTCCTTAAATGATTATATTGACCGCGCTCGAGTGGACTATACAGATAGAGCAGCAGCGAAGAAGCGACCAAAATATAACCCGAGTCAAGAGCAATAGGAGCGCAGCAACTCGGCGAGCCGAGACTTGCTCTTGCAACGACGCTGCATGTGCATACGCTCTGCATGTCAGTCCGTAGGTCCGCCAGCTCTGTGTACATAACAAGCCGCGAGACGTTCGTGCAAAATCTGCTCCGTCCTGGTTTGATATTAAAATATACATAGAATGATGGACATCGAGGAGAGAGCGCCGAAATCGGGCCCGATGGCCTCGTTGAACAGCCTCTTCTCCTTCACCAGTCCCGCCGTGAAGAAGCTCTTGGGTAAGTTGGTCCTCGGCTAAGCGATTCCTCGATCGATCGACCAACAGATCGTCTCTAATCGAAGACATTTTATGCACTACTCTTAGGTTGGAAGCAGGGCGACGAGGACGAAAAGTGGGCGGAGAAGGCCGTCGAGTCGCTAGTGAAGAAGCTGAAAAAGAAAAAGGGTGCCTTCGAGGAGCTCGAGCGAGCCGTCTCGAATCCGGGCCTGCCGTCCAAGTGCATCACGATTCCTCGCTCGCTCGACGGCCGTCTCCAGGTCTCCCATCGCAAGGGCTTGCCCCACGTAATCTACTGCCGAGTCTGGCGATGGCCCGACCTCCAGTCCCACCACGAGCTCAAGCCCCTCGAGATCTGCCAGTACCCCTTCTCGGCCAAGCAGAAGGAGGTCTGCATCAACCCCTATCACTACAAGCGCGTCGAGAGTCCCGTGCTGCCGCCCGTGCTCGTGCCCAGGCACTCGGAGTACGCCCCGGGCCGGCTGCCCATGCACTACACCCAGCAACAAAGCGAGAACACCATGCCCCAGAACATGTCCTACTACCAGACCGAGTTCAACAATCAGCATCCCCAGTCCATCGCCAGTGGCAGCAGCATGGACACGACGGCCCACTCACCGGTGTCGAGCTACGGCTCCGTCTCCAGTCCCATCAGCGCCACGAGCCACCACAATCCCTACGCCCAGAACCAGGGAGGCGGCCCCCTGTCCGAGACGCCGCCGCCGGCCTACTCACCGTCGGACGACGGCTCCCAGTACGGCCAGTCGCCCTCGCCCATGATGGGCGTCGTCGACAACAACACCCAGGACTGCGCTCAGGTGCCCTACCAGGAGCCGAGGTACTGGGCGTCCATCGCCTACTACGAGCTCAACAGTCGCGTGGGCGAAGTCTTTCACTGCCAGGCGAACTCGGTAATCGTCGACGGCTTCACGGACCCGCGAAACAACTCGGCCAGATTCTGCCTGGGCCAGCTCTCCAACGTCAACAGAAACTCGACCATCGAGAACACGCGACGACACATCGGCCGAGGAGTCCAGCTGCACTACGTCGGCGGCGCCCTCTTCGCCGAGTGCAACTCCGACTCGGCCATTTTCGTGCAATCGAGAAATTGCAACCACCAGAGAGGATTTCACCTCAGCACCGTCATCAAAATACCGCCAAATTGTTCCCTCAAGATTTTTGACAATCAACTGTTCGCCGATCTGTTGGCCAGCAGTGTCTGCATGGGCTTCGAGGCAGTTTACGAGCTAACGAAAATGTGTACGATAAGGTAAATTATTGATTTTTCAATTTATCGAGAAATTTTTCGCACTTGGTAAATAAAAATTTATCCTCGACATCTTTATCCTGACTCATCTTGTTTATTGCAGAATGTCCTTCGTTAAAGGATGGGGAGCAGAGTATCACAGACAGGACGTAACATCTACGCCTTGCTGGATCGAGATGCATCTTAACGGGCCTTTACAATGGCTTGATAATGTTTTAACGCGTATGGGTACACCCCATAACGCAATCAGTTCAGTGTCATAAATTTCAAAACCTTTATAACGTATACGTCAAAAAAATGGACAATGCCATCAATAGCTTAATGATCGAACTTCATGCCAATATATAATATATTGTACGAGAAAAAGGTTCCTTTCATTCGTGACATAAGAAAAACTCGAAGAAAAATTTTAAATCGTGATTTTCCCGAATCGAAGACTATAATTGTATGAACAAATAATCAACTTCTTGCAGAGTGCAATAATTTTTCTTCGGCGTGTTCATGTATGATTCCATATGAAATTCAACGTAAAAACACGATAAATTGTAATATAATTTATATGAATAGTTTTTTTGACAGTTGGCAGTAATGTTAGTGATATTTCAGAAAACTTTTGTAGCTCTAAATGATAAACTTTTCAAACACTGTACAGTCAATGATCGATATTAATTATACTGTGAATTAAAAGAAATTGTAAAAATAATATTTTTTATACTTTCAATTAAGCATTATAACACACGAATTTCTAATGTTGAACAACTATAAATTAAGAAATTAAAAGTTAAGATGCGTATTAAGAAAAAATTGTAAATTTATTGTCTAGTTAAGATTTGATAATTATCAAATAAAATTGTTAAGAATATATTTTTAAATAAATAAATGACTGAAAATAAAAACAAACAATGTACTTTCAATTATTTTTCATTTATTCATACTTTAAGTGAATACATACTTGGTATAAAATGCGGTTTATTGTATGACACTCCAACGGTTAACATATTGCACAATAAAATGTAAGCTGGAATTTCTTATATTCAACAATTCAATATTTATGGCAAAGTTGAAGATGGGATGCAAGTGGAATGATTAAATTTGAAAGATGAGTAAAAATCACATACACGTGAGTACATACTTTCACAATATCACATTGAGAATTGACGTCAATATAGAAATACGATAGATAAGTTGAACAAAATCACTGACCGTACAACTTGATCAAGTTTTCGCTCGACGGTGTATTCTTTTTGGCTCTTCTCTTGACTATCCTCGTTATATCGTGAGTCTTGATGTGCTTGTTCAGATTGTCGCGTCTGTTGCAGCGATGACCGCATATGTGGCAAGCGAAGGGCAGAGCCTTGGTGTGGGTCCTCAGGTGTCCGTTCAAGTGGCTCTTCTGCTTGAACTTCTTGTCGCAGTGGGTGCAGTGGAAGGGTCGCTCCTTGGTGTGCATGCCCGAGATGTGCATCCTCAGATTGCTCTTGCGCACGAAGGTGGCCCGACAGTCGAAGCACTCGTAGCGGCGCACGTTCTTGTGCACGTCCTCGTGATTTTTCAGCAGAGCCCGATACTTGAAGCTGGCCTTGCAGAGGGCGCACTGGAAGGGCCTCTCGTCGCTGTGGACGCGCTTGTGCACGTTGAGGTGGACGAGCTGCTTGAACATCTTGGCGCAGATCTCGCACTGGTAGCTGGGCTTGGCGTAGTGCACGGCGTGCTCGTGTCGGCGCAGGGTCTCCTTCAGGGCGAAGGTCTTGGGGCAGAGGCCGCAGCGAAAGGGCCGCTCGTTCGTGTGGCGCCTCGAGTGCCCGATGAACTTGAGCTTCTCGAAGAATCGCAGGCCGCAGACCTCGCACTGGTAGGGCTTGTCGTCGGTGTGTCGCCTCGCGTGGGCCTGCAGCACGCTCTTCTGGCTGAACTTGCGGCCGCAGATCGGGCAGCCGAACGTCTTCTCCACGGTGTGGGTGTACATGTGATTCCGTAGATTGCACTCGAGCTTGAACTTCTTGTCGCAGATCTCGCAGCAGTAGCGTGGCTGCAGCTGGACGTGCATCGCGTCGATGTGGCGGCGCAGGCTCGACTTGTCGAAGAAGATCTTCTTGCAGAAGTCGCACTCGAGCAGGTGCTTGAGCGGCTCGAGCTTCTCGTGGTGGCAGTCGCGGTAGTGGCGCAGAAAGTCCTGCCTCGCGTCGAAGCTGGCCCCGCAGTCGGCGCATTGGTTGCCGTTGCACTTGGTGTGGCAGCGGACGAAGTGCTGGCTCAGGTGGCTGCGCTGGAAGAACCTCTGCTCGCAGAGCTTGCAGCCGAAGGGCCGCTCGTTCGTGTGCGAGCGCACGTGACGCTTGAGGATGCTCTGGTAGACGAACTTGCGCTTGCACAGCTGGCACTGCCAGTCGGCGCTCTTGGAGCCGCGCGGTGACTTCTTGGCGCGCTCCAGCACCGGCTTCGTCCTCGAGTCGGCCTTGTCCAGCAGCTCGATCGGCAGCAGCTCCGGATGGGCCGAGCGCAGGTGCTTGTTGAATATCCGCAGCACGTGGAACGACTTGAAGCAGACCTGGCAGACGTAATTGTCGGGCCGGTCGTGGCTCTTGGCGTGCGCCTCGAGCTCGCTCAGCTTCTCGTACTTGCTCTCGCACAGGTCGCACTTGAAGTACTCGTTGTTGCGCAGCTCCACGAGGCGCCGGTCCATGCTCGACAGCAGCTCGTCCAGATTCGCCAGCTCGACCGACGGCATCTGATCATCCTCCTGCTGCAGCTCGTAAAAGTAATTCTGGCTCGAGTTCGAGTCGCCGATCTCGATGCAGTTCAAGTCGATGATGGCCTCGTCGGCGCGCAACGGGTCGATCACGGCCGGATCGTCGCTCGCTGCTGCTGCTGCTGCTGCTGCTGCGTCCTCGGCGTCCAGCGCCTGAAGCATGTACTCCTTGTCAGCGGCCAGCCAATCGTCGTTGCAGTCGCTCAAAAATACGTCGACCCCGTGACTGAGATACGAGTCGACCTCGGGCTCGACGACGCCTATCTGACGCTGCTGCTGCTGCTGCTGCTGCAACGACGGCTGCTGAAGCGGCGCCAAGCTCGCCGAGGCGTTCTCCAGGGCCTGCACGATCTTGATGCCCTCGAGCCAGCACTTGGTCGGATTGTCGGCGAGCCAGGCGTCGACGGAGCGGCGGATCTCGGCGACTCGCTGCAGCTGCCTGCGGCTGCTCGCCTCGTCGGCGTCGTGCTGAGTCGTCGTCGGCGCGTTGGCCCACTTGGACTTGAACTCGCGGAGCAGTCGTCGCGAGAAGTGGCCGCCCACGGAGCTCTGGAGCAGCCGAGGGGCCCCGATGGTGGCCACGACGTCGAGCAGCTTGTTGGCCGTCTCGGCCGCGTCGTTGCTCCGCATGGCCTTCAGCACGACCAGCTTGGAGCTCGGGTCCTCGTAGAGAAACAGGTACTTGTACTCGGTGTCGTTTTTCATCCAGACGGGCACGACGTTGACGCAGCCGCGCTCGTGCGAGCATACGCCGCCGCCCTCCTTCCAAAACTTCATGCTGATTACTTTTCTCGATGCACGAACGCGGCGAACCTGCAAAAAAGCCGTGAGATGCGTGTCAGGTTCAGTCGCAGTGGCGGCGATGGCATACAATAATATAGTATATATATACACGTCGATATCAAAGTTTCGAGGGGTCGCGCGCGAAGAAGAAGAAGAAAAAGGCAGGAAAAAAATCATAACTTGTTCATCGGTTATGCGGAGCACGGCGTCACAATGCGCTCTCGCTGTACATAAACTTCCATGAATCCTTAAAACCTGACCCTATACGTATTTCGAGGAGGAAAAAGTTTTCGTTTCCTCTCTCTCTCTCCCTCTGAATACGAATGGCGAAGTTGTTGCGCGCGATACGTCCAGAGAGAGCACATAAGTGAAAAAGTAACGAGGAGAAACCCGAGCCAGTAGTCGGTATCTGGCAGTGCCTTGGTATTATTTGTCCCGAGAGCTATGCTCGACTAATTATCGCGTAACGAAAAAAGAAAAAAAAATCAAGCTCAGCCATGTGGTCAATATTTATAGAGGATGCATCGAAAGAAAAGAAAATATATAAATCTCTGGAACGGGACGCGGCGGATGACAAGTATACGAAATATCGCGTGTAAATACGAACGAAGAAAACGGAGCACGTGCATTACGACGTCCTGCATGGACATGAAGAGAGAGAGAAAAAGAGAGAAATAAATCGAGCATTGCTTCCTTGGCCGGCAGTGCCGATCGTCGAGTGGCACACTCGTATATATACAAGTCGGAGCGGACGAGTCGGTTCATTGCCCCCTCATGTGCACCTCATGTATACGTATGTAAGCTGCTCAACTGCCCGCGCGCGCTGTTATTTATACACGCACACACGCGTAAACACACACACACACACACACACACACACACACGATTGGCCGCGCGCACTCACGCACGCACGCGGCACCTGTAAAAAATCGAGGTATATCCTATACAGAAAACACAGCGGCCAACGAGTTTCCAGATTTTTACGAGCGAACGAAGAAGAAGCGAGACAGCAGCAGCCGACGAAAGCCTGTTTTCGACAGGTCACAGGTGGGGACGATCGCGCCCTATAATATGTAACACGTTGCACGGGCCAAGGGCCGATCTAACACACCTTGAGATGAGACTCTAAGACAGCTTCGAGACCGATGCGATATGCATGCGTCGTACGATAGCGAGATGAGCGCGCGTCAACAAACGCGTCTGCTTGCGTGCAGCTGCCGTCGACACTTTCAAACCCACACATTGGCTAATAATCATTCAAATTTTCGAGGAATTTAGAGAACATTTGGAGAAATCCCACAAGCGTTGGAAACAAAACGAAAGCTACCGATCGACACTCGCCCGAGAAATTCCCGACCGCACCGCGAATGATTAATTTGGAGTTTTGAACGAGCATCGCACGCGCGCTCACGGCTCATCTTCTCTCGCGCGTTTTTATTTCAAAGGATGCGAGACGCACGAACGACGCGAGCTTTTCCGCGTCTTATCAGCAATTTTCAATCTTTGTCGGTTGTCGTCGTTGCGCGTTATAAATTACGCGCGCGCCAGCTCGCTCTCGACTCGAGTTTTATAAGCGAGCGAGGCATCTCCGGTATCTAATCAAAGTTGCTTATTCGGCAAAAAATGTGTTGTGTGTCGCTTACTTCTGGCGAACTCGATCACGAGGCAGCACTCGCAGTCGTCGATTAATTCGACGAAGCGCAGCCGAGTAGGCAGCCGAAGACGGCCGGGAATTCGACTCGCGCGTTGCCCCACAATTGAGCCACTCTGTGTCCCTTTTGTCGGATCCACCTGCGACGGGCCGCCCTGGACTCTCCGCGTTCGAATTTCGATTCGTCTGCAGCCGATCCCGTCTGCACCCTCGGCCGCGATGATCTCTCTCTCTCGCTCCGAAAGGAATGGAGCCACCACCGGGGGCCCGACTATTCAAACGCCCGCCAGACCCCGAGTATTGTCCAACGATATTATCCCAAACATCGAGTCCGGGGGCCGCTCCGACCGTCTCAAAAGACCGATAATAATTGATAAGTAAAAAACGATCGCGCCCGGCCTCTATATGCGGCGACGAGTGCTCACTTACTCTGTATCGTGAAAATCGGACTCGCGAGACGAGCTCGTGCGCTTCTGCTCGAAACTGTCGGCCGCCGAGTGTGTGTGTGCGTAAGACCCCCCTCCCTTTTGTGCTTTCCACTTCTTGCGACACGGCCGAAACGTCATCATCATATATTACGGATCGCAGAACGCGCGCACACGCTCGACGCCTCGACTCCTCCCATTTTCATTTAGTTGGAGCCGCTGCCGCTCCGCCGTCGCCCCGGCCCGTGTGCTTGTCGGCCGCCCGAGAGCCGAATAATTTGCGCACGCCACAAAGTAACGCAACATGCACTACGGCATTCTCCTTGCTTTTCTCGCCTCCAATTGTTGTTGTAACTCGCGATAGAGAAAAGGCCGTTAAAACGCCAGCATCGACGAGAGCATGGCTGCAGCGCTGAGATGCGGAAGACGGCTGCTGAACCTCCGAAATCAAGCCCTCGCCAATGTACCAAAAAGATGCGAGGGTGGCTTCTATGTACTGTGAGTTACACTTTTTTACATCAACGATAAAAGAGGTTAGATTCTCATGATGAATGTGTGCGAGCGAGTACGATACGTCGGTGGCTCGTGCGGTAGGGGACAACGTGATAGAGAGAAAGAGAGAGAGAGAAAACGAGAGTATGAGAGCAGCCGACTATCGAGCTTTTGCTGCTGCTGCTGGGGAAATGTTGCCGCAATGTAGGATGCTGATGAGAATTTTAGGGTGGTACAACGAATCCCAGCACCTGTGCGTGGGTGGCATGAGCTGCGCAAATGGACTGGCTAATGGGTTTTTTTACGGGGGATGCTTTAGCTCTCTGATGGGATGAGTTCTACACAGTCGGATTATGATGTACTTTATGCTCGAGTTTTCTTCCTTCCTTTCTGTCTTTTTCTACTCTTTTTTACTATTTTGTATGGCAAAGAGCTTTTTTCGCATCGACGAGGTTCAATCTAATGGATATTTTTCCACTCAAGATATATGAGAAAATGTTGCATCGAGTGGTGCTAAATTGTTTCATACTGCACAGTGCTTTGCTTTGCTTTACTTTGTGTAACATAAAGTGTATGATTACTTAATCGAGCATTTGTTTGTTCTTTTACAGCCTGCCAGAAATTGGAGATATACCAGACAAGTATCCTCTGTTGAAAGAGGAAACTATGTTACCAGAGTTTAATCATTTTACCATAGAAAAATGCTTTGCAGCTATTGGAAAGCAGGCCTTAGAACTTGAACAAATTGTTTCAAAATTTGAAAATGATTTAGATAGTAAGTGAACATTTTCATAAACATTGTCATTTTTTACTCATAACCATTACTATTTATAAAATATTAATCAAATATTTTATTCCAGCATTAGAAGATAAAGACATCTTTAAAGATGTTCTTGAACCTATTGAAAATATGGAAATGCCCTTGCAAATGACTCTTGGGATCTCAAAGGTCTTATATTATGGTAATCAGTCTCTTATGCCAACAAAATACTACTTGAGCATTCACAAAAGAGCATGGGCTGCAGTTTGTCACAAATTTTATAATAAAAACATTTATGAAGCATGCAAGAAAGTATTAGAAACTAAAAAAAATTTAACGGAAGAACAAGAGCGCATTTTAAAAAAATATGTTCTGGAAGGAAAATTTTATGGGTTGGAGCTCAATGAAAGTGAAAGAAAAAGATTGCATCGTCTAATAAATCAAATTAATAACAGCAAGGAAGAATTCAGACAAAAACTTGAAATAGGCACAAATATGTTTAAACACAAAATTACAGATCCACACCAAGTAAAAGGTTTGCCAGATAGTTTTTTAAAACAAATTGCTGCTGATCCCAAGCAATTTGACTCAGGTCCATGGATTATCACTTTAAATCCAGAAATAGTAAAAAAATTCTTAGGTAAATTTATTATTATTTTTATCATTATTATTAATATTATTTTTATTATGTTTATTAATTAAAATTTATTTAATATTGTCTTACAGAGTATTGTCCAGATCCAATGTTGAGATGGAATATTTGGCTTGCAAACAATTTAAGATGTTCAAAGTATGGAGATGATTCTATACAAACTAGTTCACTTGTGGATAACATTTCAGCTGACAAAACAGCAATGGCAAAAATGTTAGGTTTTAACAATTATTCTGAAATGAGTATGGCTACAAAAATGGTTGGTAGTTTGGAGAATGTACATAAATTCATGAACACACTTTTACAAGCAGGTATTAAGAAAACATTTAATTGTCACAAACTACTAAATTTTGTTAACTCTATAAAATAATTGATGACTTCTATTGCAGCCTATCCACGTCAAGTTGAAGAAATGAACCAACTGAGTGAATTTGCTCAAGAACGTGGTTATGACAAAATTGAGCAGTGGGATGTTCCATATTGGGCAAGAAAACAAAGAAAAACCATCTATAAGTAAGTTTCAATTGTTACAAGGACGACGAGCAATTGACAACTTTTTAATGTGCTCGTGCATATTTATTTGCTAAGACTTTTAAGAATTCATACAGAAAAAGTTTCCTGTGTGAAAAATTGTGTATAGTTTCTGCGTTTAATTTTTCCCGTGAAAAAGCGTATGCTATAATGCAATCTATTCTCACCATAAGTGCATACCGTTATGGGAAGAGAAAGGTGCATCCTTGGTCTAGCGCGAATCACGCAAGATTTAGGAGTTTGAATCTTTACAATAGCACGCGTAATTCTACGATACTTCATTGGTCGTAGTAGAAGGGATTCAACATCCAATAATCTCCGACGTCAATATTTTCTTATGCATTTATTTTTTTTTGACTCTTCAACGTTCGATATTATTTTTACAGCTATGACGATGAAACTCTTCACGAGTATTTTCCATTACCCAACGTACTCCAAGGACTATTTGATCTAACCAAGCGATTATTCAACGTTGAAATAGTCGAGCGTGAGCGTGTCGATGTATGGCACCGGAATGTCCGTTTCTTTGATGTCTATGATCTCGACATATCGACCACAGACAACATTGGCAGCTTTTATCTCGATTCTTATGCTCAGAGCGGCAATCAAGACGACGGTTATGTGCTTTTGTTGAGAAATAAGAGCCAGGTTCACAATAACAAGGCACTTTCTTCAATGATCAATAATTTCGAGAGGCCAGGAAAGGACGGCGGGCCGTCCTTCATATCGTTCGCAGCTGTACAGTTGCTTTTTGGAAATGTAAGTTATTGCATCTAATATTTTAATACTTTAATACTTATCTAATGAAGCGATTGAAAATACTGCCTTGGATAATTTTATGTTTTGCAAATAAAGAGTTACTCGTAGATAAGTTTTAATTTTAAAGTATACTTTTTTTAGAGAGAGGAGGGGGGGGGGGAGGATAATTCAGTATTATCGTTTGTTACCAATTTTCAAAGTATTTTATTTTACTAGTATGAAAAAAATATTTATGAACTTCTGTATGAATTCTGGGAATATTTAATATATTTAAACTTTTAAGATTCAATCTACAGAACCGTCATTATTAAATTAGTTTCTTTGGTTTTGCCATATGTACTAATTTTTTGAAATGTAATGTAATTTCAAAGTTAAAAAAACCGCTAAAATTATTTCCGGGCAAAACTAATCGACCATTATTTTTCGTAAATTTGTCATAAACAAAATAATTGATAGAAAAATCAAAATATTTCGACATCAGTGCGTGCTTAAAGGATTACTAAAAGAGTGCAAAATTTCAACAGGATCGGTTAAATACTTTTGGCTTCACTGAATTTGAAAAATATAATTTAGGGAAATGAAAAATGTATGTCTTAGAATATCGTTTTTTCCCTAATTATATTGTTTAAATCGGTAAAAACTTAACTCAAAATATATTCAACCGATCTTTTTGAAATTTGACACACTTTATTAATCTTTTAAGCCCGTACTGATGTTAAGATATTTTTATTCTTCCATTAATTATTTTTACATTTTGATTCACCTTAAAAAAAGTAAAAAAATAGATATATAGATATGGAAACTAAAAACTCAATATTATTTTATCACTTGCAGTTTGGACACTTGTTGCAACAAATTCTGACTCGCGTTCGTTCGTCTGAAGTGGCTGGACTATCAAATGTAGAATGGGACGCAACTGGACTTAGCAGAAGTCTTATGGTTAATTTTGCATTCGAAGGGGAAGTACTTCGAAGCATAAGTTCTCATTATGAAACAGGAGAACCTTTGAATGACCAGATGATTCAGAGTATTATATCGTCCAGAAATCACTTGGCCGGTTACCGGCTTTGCCAAGAATTGTATCTGTCGAAATTTGACTTAGAACTACATTCGCAGTTAGTTTTCAACCATGTTAATTACAATTTATGTTTGCTGATAAATCAATACTTACATATTTTATTCATTTTAGAATGAGGCCGTGGGAAAAAATTATGAAACAAGTATGGAAGGAACATTTTGTTTTTCCTGAAGATAAAAAAGATTCTCATCCTTGTTCATGGGACGATGTTTTCATTAGCGATTTTGGTGCAGCTTACTATTGGTATGTTTGAAATTTTCTAGTTAAAATTATACTTATAAAATGTGATGGTAAAATATAAACATTTATTTTCAGCGATCTATACTCAAGAATGTTGGCCGCCGATGCTTATAACGCCTTCCGAGAGGTGCCAGGTGATGACGAAGTAGAGAGGCGTAAAATTGGCCTACGATTTAAGGACACAGTACTGTCTCTGGGCGGTAGTGTACACGCTAGTGAAGTATTCCGACGATTCCGTGGTAGAGACCCTTGCGAGAAAGCTTTTATTAAGAGCCTCGAACTCGATTAAGGTACAAGAGAGCAGATTCGTTGACCATTGAGGGTCAGAGTGGTGATTTGCTGAATGGATGCAGAAAGTCTGAGATCTTAATCTCACTTGTTACTGTTGTTACTCGAATGAAAATGTATTCTAAACAATGCATTTTCTTTGTTTGTGTTTTAAATGTTATCTTGAGCTAATTTGCGAATACTTCGAATGAGTGCTTGATACAAAGCCTTCTACTCATAAAATTATTTATAGTTTTTCTCGATGCTTTCGCGGTTATTATTTAATGAACCAAGTTCCTTAAATTACAGTAATTGTACATGTACATAGTATAGTTATAAAGTCTTTTACAACATTTATATTTATGATTGAATTGTATAATTCTTCTCTACGCGATATTTTTATGTTTGCAAGAAATAAATTATAGTTTAGTTACTTGAAAAAAATCGATAACATATCGAAATAAAACAGAATTTCTCATTGATATAGTAATACCGCGAAGACGTTGAAAAATTCTTGTGATTGATTTTACATTTTTATAAGTGAAATATTTAAAAGGATGAATTTCGTATACACATTCGTGAAAGATTAAATTTTGATTGTGATACATTGCAACGATTTTTTTTTCAAAATCACTGATTAAATTATAAGGTTTAAAAATTCACTGATGAATGTAAAATGTATTTGCTAATGTACATATAAATGACTATTACGAAGTTGTGTTGATTCATTGTAATAAATAATTGATACTTTATAAATGACTTAGATTGAATAATTATCATCAAAATATTATTTAATAAAAATATTTATTAATTTTATGAATGTTTTTTTGATTATTAAAAATGTATTATTTTAAATTAATCGCATTATTATAATATTAATTGCATTTTTCACTCAAATCAATATTATAATTTTTTGTCCTTTAACTTTTGGCAACATGATTCATAAATGTTATACCATGTGAATCGTAGTCAATGGCCAATAATGCATTCATACTAAATCACAGATTTGTTCATAGTGTAATAACATTTAAGATGGTTTTAAAAACGTTTGCTGGAGTAAATTTAGAATGTCGAGAAGTAAGCAGCACACTTCATCTGACACATGAAAAATGATCGACGACGGTACACTTTTCATATAAATGTATATAACAATGGATTTTCAAACAGTAAATAACATACAGGCAACATTTTGCTAATGTTAACTTTGTACAGCCAAAAAGATTTTTTTCTCCTTGTATCATTATATGCTAGACTAAGGCTACTGTAACTATAGCGGCAAACAGTAGTATGATGATGACCCAATAGCCACAAACCTTATCTTTTTGACTAACGGTTCGAACAGCCCGTGTACCATCTATTAATCTTTCGTCTGTTCGGTCTATATGGTCAGCCAAGTCGTCAATTATTTCTAAATGAAGAATAAAAATGATTAAATAAAAAAGTAACTCGGCTGTTTATAGCAATTTTTAAAATTCAATATTCACCATTGTGATCAGTAACTTCAGAATTAATAGCTTGTGCGATCAGCTTTTGCCTTGATATTATCTTGGAAAGCTCATCTAAACCTTCTTCTTGTTCTATTTGGAAAGTATTTCATTAATTATTCCTGATTTAAGATTAATTATTATTAATATTTGATGCCTTACGCCTAAGCAATTGTTGCTTTTGAGATTTTAAATCTGCTACACTCGTAGGTTGAGAATTTAGTAATTGTGTTTGGTCATTATCATCGTCAAGGCCCCAACTAGTTGTACCACCATCAGCAAATGCAGAAGTCGATGGGCCCAATAGTCTTGCTCTTGATAAAGCTAACTCATTTGTTTTAGACTCATACAGTCTTCGCATTTGGAGATCTTTACTTTGCAAGATTTCCACTTGTCGCATTCTACGCTCTGCCTCCCCCCCAGTACTGATTTAAATTTATATTAAGGAAAATAACATTCTAGTAGAAAATTATGAATGTTTCTATTTTTTTTTCTTTAATTTATCATTAACTTAAGAATTAAGTAAATTATTACTGTTGGTAGTAAATTGAAGGATACATAAGTTGATCTCTCCGAGCTTGATTGATCTTATATCTGAGATCTTGAACTTGTTGACTGTAATGGTTTAATTTAATTCTGATATTAGCCGAGAGACTTGCAAAAGCTTGAGATGTTCTAGCTTCCCTGTCTCTTTGAGTTAACTGTTCCATAATTTCTCTCTGCAAATTGTCGCAAGCTTCATAATCGACCATCCTTAAACGAGATGAAAACAATTTTAAGCTGTCATAAGGAGTATTCAGTAAAGAGCAGACGACTTACCATCGATCGTCTCCATCATCGATGTATACAAGTGTCATTGTGTTTAAGGCGATAAAGAGTTAAGCAAAAAGAACGAAAGAACAAGCGACGATAATTCGATTAATGCTTGAAAGATTGTATTAATTAGGCGTAAAAGTTATTGGCATGGCAAATATAAACATTTGCGTGGAAGGTATCTGAATTCGAAAGCTTTGTGAATTGGCAGAGCGTCAGAGTATGATGCGTATGTTGAATGATGGAAAGAAAACACAGTATGTTTTACGTCGGTCGTGTCGTTGATTCACCGCCAGCAGAATAAACATTTTTCATGGAGAACGCTCAAGTCTGTTCCGTTAAGTGTCCAATGACACCGATCAAGACTTGGCACTTGGCTGACACATGGAGTTCGCGACAAGAAACGCATAGTCAAACGTACCCGCACGAACGCGTGCCCCCTACTTTATTCGCCAAAGTCCCCTAGTTCCCTCTCTTGCGCTTGTGGCAAAAAAACAACTAGATCCTATGAGATATGGCTGCCTTCTTCACAGCAGTAGCAGCAGAACTTTGAGCGAGGAAAACGATTCATCCTCGAGTCGTCGGAGTAGGGTGAATTGCACGATAAACAAGGACGGCTCTTGGCTGTGCTCGTCAGTGTGATCGCCGATCGCATACAGAGTGTTGTAAAAACTGTGGCGATTGCTGTGGTGTGGTGAGTGGTCAGTCGTACTGGTGGTGTCGGCTGCCAATACAAGTGTCGCGCAACGCAACTCCGGCACTGCTGCTGGCGAGCGAGCTTACGCACGTAACGAGTAATCCAGTATAAAACGTCAGTTCTGGATTCATCGCCATATCGTGCATCGGACGCACGTTCGTCGCACTTCTCAACGGGACTGTCTGCTTTCGTAGTCATCGTCGTCGTCGATTGCTAGTTTCTTTTGAAGTGTTTTCTTAAAAACATTCATATAATATATAGTCATAGTCACAATATGGGCCTGTGATTGATTCAGGTTGAAAGTGAAATAACATGTTCCCTGCATTATGCTCATCAAAACAAGCAGAACAACTCGAGAAAGTATAAAAGGTGAGTTGTCTGAAGCCTGCCGTGGCTCTTTTTATGTGTGAGTGACTGGCGTATATGCATGTACGTACCTGAACCTATAGCTACTATATGTGTGCGTGTTTTATATACCTATACTAACGTGCACGAGATTCAAGAGAAAGGAGAGAGAGAGAGAGAGAGAGAGAGAGACAAGATCGATTCTTTATCGTCGTCGTTGTGTGCCGAGGTGTTATGTATGTATGTATACACTGCAAAGCTGTAATAATGGAAAAGGGCAACAGATGGTACTCGTTCTCTTTTGTTGCTGCTACTAAAAAATTTCTCGAAAAAATGAATAATGTTGTTTCCGCGGCATTGATAGCACAGAGTGAGTTTTATCATTGAGTCGCTGGCAAATAACAGTTATAATCCCATTGTGGACGCGAACAATACGAATAAACGGTGGATCTTACTATGAGAAATGACGTATTATAGAAAAACGTGCCTATGTATCCAATTGAATTTTTTTTTTAAGCTAATGTAAGTAAAAAGAATTTTTCATCCGAGTGAACGTACATGTCATCTGATTAACGTGCATGTTACAAGGACGATGTAGATTTATTTGAGCTTTTGAAGCGTTTGTGATTGGAGATTGGGTAATACCGTATCATCGTAATTCAATGCAATTTTTAAACATTTTTTCATTGCTTCGATGTCAGGGTGAAGTAATCATTGTTGTTGTTGTTGTTATTACCAATTCAACTTGTTTAAAAAGTATAACTATGAAGTAAAACTATGAAATATTAAATAAAAGATGTTATGCGTTATTTCAAAGAAAAACATGTTAACGTGAATAATTATTGTGTTTACATGTTATTATTTAATTTATTTCATTACATCACAATCTGATTCTTTTGCAGATTGAGTGAAGATGAATAGTGAAGCAAGGGTGGATGCAATTTCTACTGCTTCAATTATAAATTCCAGCACAATATCTAGTATATCAAATATGATGATGGAAGATCCAGAAAAGCCAGTAACGCCAATATTTTTACAAACACAGGCAGCAAAAGGTACAAACAATTAAGCTACCAGTTAATTTGATATTATTATACGATGACATCTTGTGTGCAAATTTTTATTGAAACTTTTAGTTTCTAATGAGAAACAATCTGATATATTAATATATTTACAGGTTTGGCAGGAGCCTTTGTGTGGGCAGCATTATTTATAAGTTGTCAACAAATTTATCAGCATCTAAGGTGGTATACTAACGCTGCTGAGCAGCGTTGGATAGTACGTATCCTCTTTATAGTGCCCATCTATGCTACCTACTCCTGGATTTCTCTGCTATTCTTCAACAATGAGAGTTATTATGTATATTTCTTCACTGTACGAGACTGCTATGAAGCCTTTGTTATTTACAATTTCCTCTCATTATGCTACGAGTATCTTGGTGGTGAGGGAAACATCATGTCTGAAATACGAGGAAAGCCCATTCGGTCCAGCTGCATTTATGGTACCTACTGTCTAGCTGGCAAGACATATACCATTGGATTCCTGAGATTCTGCAAGCAAGCAACACTTCAGTTTTGCTTTGTCAAGCCACTCATGGCGTTTATAATCATATTCCTGCAAGCTTTTGGCCACTATCGAGACGGTGATTGGTCGCCTGATGGTGGCTACGTATACATAACGTGCATTTACAACATTAGCGTCACGTTGGCGCTTTATGGACTGTTTCTATTTTATTTCGCCACCAGAGATCTTTTGACGCCGTTCGATCCCGTGCTCAAATTTTGCACTGTTAAAAGCGTCATTTTCTTGTCGTTCTGGCAAGGTAAGTCAAAATTGTACTCATAATTTTATAGACTTTATCGTTCGAAAAATTTTTCGCCAAAATTTTTATCTTATCAAATAAATTTTTTTCAACTCTTTTAACGCCCATTTTTATGTAACGCATCAAGGCTAAATACGGAAATCAAATTGTAGCTTACTGTGAATTCAGTCTAAAAAATTTTATTTGATAATACGTTCATCCGGTAATATGTTCCAAAGTACGTCCAAATACATAAACGTCGCAATTGGGGAAAAAAATTAAAATAAATGTTGCGGTGAAAAAGTATCCTTTCGTCGGTCATAGGCCTATCAAGCAAAATATCTTATCTTAATTCCTTTAAAGCACCTTACGTACGTGGAAATTCATATCTCTCTGATTAGAGCGCTTATCGTCGATAAATGCAATTTCTCACTTATTACGCAGGAAATTGAAAACAAACAATAACGTGAAAATTTTTGGTGTTACGTAGCTTACCGATTCAAATATTTCAGGAGTTTTATTGGCAGTACTGGAAAAGGCCCAAGTGATTTCGCCCGTGATAAATAGTCTCGGGCAATCTACGTCTGCTGGTACAGTATCGGCTGGTTACCAAAATTTCCTAATCTGCATAGAGATGCTGTTTGCCGCTGTTGCGCTACGTTACGCTTTCCCGTATCAAATTTACGCGGCTGGTTGCAGAACTGATTCGCGTGGCCGCAGCGTAACTATGCAGAGTATCAGCAGTAGCCTCAAGGTAATTTATTCAGAAGGGCTTGCCTATGATAAATATTACAATGATTTCATCATTTGAATGTTTGTAGGAAACCATGAATCCAAAGGACATAATGACTGATGCCATTCACAATTTTCATCCTCAATATCAGCAGTACACGCAATACAGTTCTGGTAAGTTTTTTGATGATTCAGATAATTTTTCGCTTTTTTTAGTAACACGACCATTTTTGATTATATTTTACACTCGTTTTAATTGATAATCACTATTTGATATCAAAACCACGATTGAAAGCTGTAAGTTTAGTTTATTTTTATACCTGTGGCCCGGAAAGGAAATAAGCTATTTTCATCACTGCATGCGCAAAGTTCTACTTCGCGCACGTTGTAATGAAAATTAGTGTACGCAACTGGGGCGGTTGTCAATCTCCCGTCCCCGTTGCGTAATCTACTATTCAAGATCATTAGCCGAGCGAGAAAGTGGCACTTTCCGCACGCAATGATGAAAAATGGTATTAAAGATCTAGGGCAATAATATACATTTGTTAAAGAAGTCCTGGTTATTCACAGCTTCCAATAATATAAAACAGTGTAAAATTTATTCGATATTTTGTGTCTCCCATTCATAAAGTACATATTTTACACCTACTGTTTATTTGTATGCATGAATTTCCATTGCTTTTTTACTGCAGCTTGCATGAATCGCAATTCGCATTTGTTTCTTTTCCTTCTTCCAACACTCATGTACTACTTATTCACTTTATTTTGGACAATTAATAAAAAATTGGGGATGGTAAAGGTCACTAAAAGATAATTTGCATAGAAAAAAAGTAGTAGCTTTTAAATAAACATACATCGTGATCAATTAATTGCACAGGCACAGTGTATATGTTATCGATTGGAGTCTGGATTTTGTTTTTAACGTTTACCTATTTTTGTGCTTTAAACGCAAATTAATTTATATCAAAATCAAGGCAGCTATAAATTTCAAACTGAAAGTAATGCTTATGTCAGTTTTAACTTAAAAATTATGTGAAAAACCACAAACACCGAAATATAAGAAGCAAAAATCGTTAAGTAGCTGCGATCTTTTTATTTTATTTTTCAGACGTCAATACCAACATGCCGTACGAAAAGCTGTGAAGTAAATTAAGTAAAATTTACAAAAACGGAGTTGATAAAGATTTAATGAAGGCCGGTCAATCTTTATGAGTTAGAAGAAACGATAATAGAGTTGACATTTTTCTTCAATTTTTTATACAAAAGACTAGGAATACGCAGCGATGGTTACGATACTACTTCTTGATTTTTTTAGTTTTATTTCGTAAAAAAATCACGTGAACTCGAGACATTATATGCAGGGTATAAGTACTTAAAATAAAATATATTTATATATTTTTCAATTTTTTTGACTGGACTCTATTATAACTTATAGCAATTGATCCAGATTTTGAAAAATATATTGTAAAAAATAATTACTCACACAAGATTAAAACAGTTAATAATAATTATATATTCGTTATTTCGTTGCTTTTTTAGGAAAGGTTTTTATACGTTTTTAATTCCACATTTTACACGTTACTTTATGTTAATCATTATAATCTTTCTAAGATCGACGTTGTTTTGAAAGTTTCGAGAATCCGCGTCAAATTAAATTCGAAATTATTTGAATGTCTCTAGAGCTAATTCTGTAAGAATCGTAAAACACAAATAACTTCAAATGTACGCACCTTGCATTTAATTTTAATCATAGAAAAATTTTAAGTGTACAGAGTGCTGTGTGACTCGGCAAAGCTCACATAGGCCAATTTTTATTTTGCCTCATTAAGGTATTATTCATAAATTTAGTTGCTATAAATACTCTAATTAACCAATAAGACGCGAATTCAAAATCGATCAGTATTTTTGTTTCATTTACAAATTATTCAATTATTCCTTCGAATGTTTGACCATTGATGTTAAAAAAAATATAAAATGCATTAGAGATAATTTACTCTAAACAAACCTCAATATATAGTATCATTAAGCACATACTCGAAAACTATATTACTCGAATACAAATATAAAAAATCTAATATTCTCATATAGAATTAAGAAAAAGTGAAAGGAACGAAAACGTGTGTACGATATATTGATATAAATAAATGTTTTAAAAAGTCCAAAATCTTTTTTGTTTCGTTTGTTCCTTTAAATACATGATTTATTTTTATTTCTTTGAATCATATAATCTTTTATTATTAATGTATTCATATCCAATGCATAGCATGCAAGGTAGAGTAAAAAATATTTCTGTTCATACCATGTAATGATATGTAAGGACCTCAATGAAAGATGTAGATCAATGTTTTCGAAACTATCAGTCATTTTGCTTTTGAATACTTTCAAATTTACTTTTTGCATTTTCTTGCGTGCTAATCAATTTAGTTTTTTTTTTAAATACCTTCTTTTAAGATGAAACATCTTTTTCATTCTGTAGATCGAGTTTTTTATACTGTTACCGTTACATTCATTTCTTTTCTATGTTATATAATTATAATTAAGAGGTGGTACTTTTATAAATAAAGTTTGCATATATAATATAAACATATAAGGGTGGTCTATTTTTCAAAAAATTGTTTAAGACTGTGGATGCAACGGAATCAAAAGATCAAAGTTTGAAAGAACGTTTATTCTTTTGTAAAAGTATAAAAAGTAAAATTTGGAGGTTTCAATAAATTTTTAAAGTTTATTTTTTGACATTAAAAAATCAAGGCCTACAGACAGTAACGTCATAGGTTGCCAAATGTAATCATTTAGGTATAACTGGTTTTGTGAATAAATTTTTTATGGTATTTTTTTCACCGTAGAACGGATATAGCGAAAAAATCATTTTCAGTGCCAATTTTTTAAATTAATTTAACGAAAAATTCGTCTGTCAGTTCTAAGAAAATGAAAAAAAAATCTAAAGGTATTTTACTTTTTAGCTTACATGCATGACGAAAAGAGTCACATGCAATATTAACATGATCCATTCACGCTGGGTGATTGGGTTAAAATTGTTAAATTTCACGGGATTTACTTGTACGGTAAAATTCCGCCAGTAAGTGCATATTTCATGACTTGAATTTAGAATTTTTTACTGAGCATAGGCATAAGAGAAAAAATAACAAAAATTAATGTTGACTTAATATTCTACGTTCTTTGCATCTCATGGAACAAACAAATTTTTGATTTTACACAAATTCTGAAACTGCTTGTCGGTTTAAAAATATATTCTTAGTAGATACATTTTGGGCGTGATCGTGATGTGCAAAGAGAGAAAAATTTTTATAATCGAAAAACGTACAAGTGTTAGAACTTTTTTTATCAAGCCTTGAACGAGTCCTGAGCTTCAAAATGATTTGATCGCGTTACTGATGAAATCACTTATTTGTGGTTCTTTCCCAGAAATATATTAGAGATTTGAAAATAAATATGCCTGAAAACTTTTTTTTGTTTGATGACACGTAAAATACAAGCAATTATTGATTCTAAGACTTCAATTTGATAAGAAAGACAAATTGCTACTAAATAACTACGTTTGAACAAAAATAAATAAAACGAATTTTCCCAACCATCCGGAATTAGCCTTGAAAATATAAGTCTTTTGATGACCCGAGCAATGAAAAAAATTCTAGTTCGAAAATTCGATGTACACGGAGGTGATATTTTGCATATCTCGTTGACATATGTAACTGGTTCTGAAAATTTGAAAATTTTCTGTGGAATCGAGAAGAATACAACAATATTGGAAAAATGACCTCAGTTTTGTTTATTTGTGCTAGTTTAAGATTGTGTCATGTTGACATGCAGTAAGCAGATTTGGGAAGATGTTCTTTTTTACAGCGGATACAATTAAAATCGGAACAAAAATAAAAAATAAATTTCGTTTCATTAGTATACACACGTAAATTGACTAAATGTGATTGGGAATGCCATTATACTATGCATGTTAATTGCCTGTTTCGAGTCTCGATCGATTATCAAAAGGTGCGATTAAATATGCGATTTTTCTATTATTTTCAAGAGTAGATTCCGATACAATTTTCCTGAGGTTTATGATTTTTTCCTCATTATGAGAATTTTGACTTTTATCTGATTAAATCGCATAATACTCGCCCTAATATGATTGAGGGAATACTGAAATTTAGGCGGAAATGAAATAATTAAATAATTTTATTAAAACTTTTTGTACAGTTTTTCTTAAAAGCAGCGAATGTAAAAAATTGAAAAAATCCAATCAACATTTTTAGAAATTTTTTTTTGAAATTCCTAAAAAATATTTATGAAAATCATCATGGTAATTACCCTGATTTTGGTATTCCCTTATTTCATAAATACATGGTATATAGCCGGGTAAGTAATTTTCATGAAAAAAAAGACATACTCGAAATTATTAAAAAAAACTCTCATAAGCTAAATGAAAAATTCCAAATCTAGGAGGTAGTACGAAAAACCAACGAGGCATGAGAGTTTCAAGCTACGATCCCGATGACCCGCAAAACATGCCTGTTCCACCGCCCCAAAGGCGTACACATCAAAATGCACAACAAAAGCCAGTCCCGACCATATCGCAGAATTACAACGAGAAGACGATGCTCTTGAGCAGTGACGACGAATTTCAGTAGAGTTAAAAAAATAACAATGATATAAAACCAAAGAATTGAGCTGGTAAACATGCGCAATTGATCATATTACCGTATATAGGATGACTGCTTCAATACCCGGCCACATCTAAAATTTGATCATAAATAATCTTTTAAATTATTGAAATTATAAGTTGATAATTATTACTTATTTACAAGGAGAACTTCTGACCTATTAACACTCCATGCATAGTAAAGATTTTCAAATAAAAAAGAAATTATTTATAAAATGATCCCTAAGACCTATTAGATTAAAATAAGTACATGGAGGTTCATTATCGAGTACTATAGTATCCAGAAGAATTTTGTCAAGCATCATTCATCTGGGGGGGAGAAGGTTTCCTTGTAATTCTTCTCTTTTTTGTTCTATAAAGTATTTCTAAAATGGTACAATAAACGTATCTTGAAGTGGAAAGTGAATAGATATTTGTTTCATTGGATTTTTGTCACAATTCATTACCGGCTAGTTTCTAATTTGAATTAACCACGATGAAAATTATTTTTATAAAGTTGTACAATTCCAAATAAATTTAAAAGTAATTTAAAATTTTTTTGTGAATGTGACAAATTTTATTGTTCAAGCTATTATATGAAAAAATGGCCTGTGATTTTAAATCAGTATGTTTTATGTGACTAGTTATCGGTACAGTCACCCTATGAAATTGCTTGAATAAATTTCAGCTATCATAGCTGTGTAAGATGAAAATGTTACATGTATATATGTATACATTGAGATGAAACTTGTTAATATTTTCATCTGTGCACAGATAAAAAAATATGCTTCGACGAATAAGATTTTGATACGAAGATTAATCAGGGATGGGCCTTTTTTATACTGTCCCGAAAAAAATACGTAGACAAGAATGATGCTAATATTAAATCTATTTTTTTACTTGTAACATATATGATGATTATCATTTTTCGTTCGTTTGTGGTTGCGAAGCATTGGATAAAAAAACATAATTTCTAGTGCAATAGCTAGAACCTCAGAAGAAACAAGAGTTGTTGAGTTTTCTCTCCTTGTAAGTACTATCGTCATAAATCATAATATTGAAAGAAAATAAATGAAAAGACCAATGTTCCCACTTCCCAGTGATGTTAAAAAATATAAGACACGACATTTGTTTATCTTTCTCACTAAGATCTACACTTGATTACATATTATTAATTTACAAAAAAAAAAATATTGTTACATAATCTATATTGATCCATCAAATAAAGATTTATTTTTTAAAAATTACTAACTGTTTCTTCGTCCACGGTTTTTATGTTACTCGTTCTAAGAGTGATATGAAAATCGACGGCTTGAACTTTTTATGTTTTTTAATGAAGTACTTGAAAAGAGGAAAAAATGACACGAATCAATTGTAAATCTCAATAATAATATTTCATGTAAAACCATCAATAGTTTCAGAAAAAAAAATTAAACGGATGATTTTTTAACATATTTAACATGTTATTCAATATTTTAAATTTTACAAGTAAAAAATAAGCCTAAAGTTACTGCAACTGTCCGCTAATTTTTAAGAAATTGATAAGCACAAAACCTTAAGTACGTCGAAAATCTAAACTTCTACAAATTCAACGATTGCTCGAGGTAGTTGGCCAGTAAACTTAAATGTTTCCAATACCGGTCAAATTTTGGGTGGTCATTCTTTGGAAAAGTAACATAAATCAACAACGATAATTTCAATAAAAATCAAAATTTAAGTTCTCAAGAACGAGCTTTTCAGGCATGATGATTTTGACGCGGACTTTTATGAAAAGCTCGTGAATTTACGTAAAATTTTTTTTAAAAACTAGATATCGTTTCTGATCACATTCTTAAAAATTAAAAGTCGACGCGATTGTTACAAAGATATTTCAAAAATAGAGACAGATTTTATGATTTTTCAAAGATGCCTATAGAAAAACTAAACGAAAATTTTGGTCAAGGTATGCATTTTATAGATAAAAATATGAAGTGAGTTAAGTGAGTTTCACTGGCCAACTATATTAATTGAATCCTTGTAAATTTAAAATGAGAAAAAGGCTTATGACGTTGTTTATGTGTTCCTTAACGTTAGTATATTACATTATATTATATATATTATATATTCTGAGTGAATGTTATGAAAATAAAAAAAATCATTGCTGTGCATACTGTTATTGATTTAATCATTGTAATCGTTTTTTTTTAATTGTAAGCATTCAAGAGGATACAAAACCACTTGCATGGTTTATTTAAAAAACTCTTTTCGACATAATTTATTTTCATATTGGTATTTTTCTAAAAAGTTACATATAAATGCCAATCTTGAAAATTGCGTTTGAACACATTGAAAATGGTCGGAATTTTTTAGTATATTTTTATTTAAAATGCCTGTGAACAAATTTTTCTTCAAATCGTTGCTACTTACTGAAATTAACAAAAAAAAATACTTACGAAGCTTTTGAGGAAATTATTAAATGGAAAAAAATTGTGAAAAGGGGTTTAATTGTATAAAAAAAAGATGACTTTGATGTACCATTAAAAATACATGCTTGCGTATATTCTCTGCGTTAATAAGTCGACACTAAAAAAAAAAGAACTATATATGTGTATATACATAATTTAAGCTAAAAGAACTTTAAGAGTAATATAGGATTTTACATTTAGATGCTATATGACGATCGAAAAATTATGTCTGAGAATACAAATTGGTTGTTTGTGATATTTTATGGTATCCGAAAATTTATGATTTGAATAAATATAGTCGATACCTACGGTAAAATTGCAAACTAGTATTCAATTTCTCTTCTGTACCAAAATGTTCCAAGAAAATACACTCCGTAACAAAATTATTGCATCAACAATTTTGATTGAAATTCTGTCAATTTTTAAAAGCTACAGTGTATACGTGGAGGTATATAGCTCCTATTTGTTGGTATTGTTAAATATGTACTATGCTCCTAAATATCACTTTTTGTTTAGCTAACATCGCTCTGACTCCATCCTATCTCAATCAATTCAAACATTCAGGCATACACGATTTCAGAAAGTCGAGACATTTTACGTACTGTATGGTAATACCTTCAAAACGGCCTATAGGACGTAAAAAATCGTGAAGAATTTTTTTTTTTAAATTACTCGTCGAAAAGAGTACTTTGTGATGGTGTATGTTTGATTTGGATAAACGAATGACTGTAGTCCAGGAACACTTTTAAACAATCGATTTTTTTCGTCATTTTTGGCGTTACGCTTAAGGGCGACTGATCACTTAGGATTGACTCAAACATAATAAAAATATCCTATATGACTTTAAACTAGGAAAAATTTTCAAGAAAACTCAAAACAAATTCGTGTCGATACGATCAAAATTGACGAAATTTCAATAATAAGTGTTAACGCGATAATCTTATTGCGGAGTACAAGATGCTATATTATGATACTTTGAAATCCTAATTATATTACTTAGGATGTGATTGAGATTTCAGAATTTGGGTAGGTTTTTTTGTCAACCAGGTGTTTAGTATGAATATATTTTACGATAAAAAAATTTTTCAACTATTTTGATTCTTATTTCCTTTTTTAAATTGCATCTCAAAACAACATCTTGCTCCCGCACGTGCATCCACGCAGTGCATGAAAAATTTCACGAATATTTTATCAGTAATTTTAGAGATATCTTCGAAACCTGTTCAGTAAAAGTAGATCCCTCCTTAAATTTTCATATTCTTTACATACTTTTATTATTTTAGTAATCATAAAATTGATGTTAATGAAGGGTTTCAAAATAACATAAGATGATTATAGCCATTTGGGTCACTTGGGTAGTACATAGAAAATGAAAGTAGCAGGCATGTTCATTTGAAATATACTTATATTTTTATTCAGCTTGCTGATTACGCTTTACACTAATTGTTATTAATTAAGCACTAATAGTCCTGAAGACATTGATACCAGTAAGTGCTGTTGAAATGATAATGCCCGTACATTGTGGGTGCCAATGTAACTCTTTAATGTCAGACTGTCCTTGATGAATAAAAAGCAACTGTGGCGGTAAATCTTCAATCATTTCATCTTTTGTCTCATCAACTTCTATCGACAAATCCCATTGAACTATCTGATCATCAGCAGCTCCTGATGCAAAAACTGTTGCTTCGTGAGGATGCCATTCAAGCGTTGTAATGGGTTGAGAATGATGTGTAAAGGTTGCTAGAGGTTGTAATTTACTAGATGCAAACTGTCTCAAATCCCACAACTTAACCAATCCATCATCACCACCAGATAGGAGATATTGTGATTCTATTTTATTCCACGATATAACATTTATGTCTGATGAATGAGCTTCAGAAGCTGTCAACATGCATGCAGAGTGTGGTTGAGCTCTTATGTCCCAAATTTTTATGCTAAAAAATAAGAAATGAATTAATAATTAAATAAACATGATTTTTTTAAGAATTTAATGTTCTTAAATATGTTTACCTAAAAATATATGTATATATGTATGATTAAAAAATTCTTAATTAATAAAAGTATACCTTTTGTCAACTGAACAAGATGCAAATACATTTTTTTCATTTGGAGACCACTGAATGTCTTCAACACTGGTGGAATGTGAAGTAAAAGGAATTGAACTGACTGACCATGTTTCTTTGCAATTCCATACATGTATATTTCCTTTACAATCTCCAGAAGCTAAATAACCTTGTTCAACATTTGACCAATCTAGAGCATATCCTTCACTAGGATGACCTTTAAATGAGAAAATTGGTTTTCCTGGTGTTTCTAAAGTTCTATGTTCATTTTGTTCATCAGAAACGGGTGATTCATCATCAATAGCTTTTAATTCTTTACTCAGATCCCATAAATGAACACGTCCAAGCTCACTCCAACTTGCAGCAAGTGTTTTATCACCAAAGCGTTTAGATCTGCAGAAAAAAGTCATGTTTAACAAATATCAAGTAAACTTTTTTTATTTTTTAAGAGTCTTAAAGATATCAATGTTGAAGCAGATAGAAAATTCAATGTTTTATCTTGTTTTTGTAGCTGCTTCATAAAAGATAAGATTGAAAAATGAAAATACAAGTTTAAACTACAGTAGATTTATGAAAAATTGTTTTCAAAGGCTCAAGTTTTGGTAATTTTTATTTTAAATTTATTCTTCAAGATAGCATGCTAAGTTCAAATTTAGTTTTACAAACGTTTATGGTTGATATTGACTTTCCAGCACAAAATGTATCTCTTTAAGAGAGAAAAAGGTATTTAATTTACATATTAAAACATATTAGGACTTATGTACGACTTAGACCTCTGAATTTAAGGAAATACTTTTCTGCGTTGAAAGCAGCAATGTAACCATGTAACCAGTATATATTTTATTGTAATTCGAGAAAATATTTCCAAAAATAGAGTGAGAAGAACATGATTAATCAAAATCAAATTTTATGATTAATCATTGATATGATTAATCATTGATATTAATCATTGATATGATTAATCATTGATCTTACCTTATACGATTGACACATCCCTTGTGTTTTAATGCTATCGAAGACATAATGGGAACATTTGTGTCTTGTTCAGATTCATCATCACTAGATTCATCATCACTAGAATCATGTTTTTGTTTTATTCCATGTAGATTCGACATTTTTATTAGGAGTAAATTATTTACATGAGTTTTCGGTGCCTGTGTACCAGACACTATGTACATGGTAAATGGATCAACTTCTCTGTTATTTCCAAGATCGTCTTGGATTATATCAAAACTTAAGCATGGGGCTCCTGTTCGAGCTTGATGGTATAAGCGATATGCAGATTCATCCATAACTAATTTTCCTGTCTCATTATTTCCAGATAAATCACCTGAACTTTCACAGTTAGGGTCATCTTCCATCATTTCAACTTCTTCACTCATTGTAAATGTGTTTGAAATAGGTAACCCTGAAAATTAGTCGAGAAAAAAATGAACACATGAAAGTAAAAAATATATTCAAGGTACACAAATTTTATACTTTTGATTTTAAATTAAAGCTAACAGTATTAACTAGAAAATGCACATTGAATAACTAAGAATGTACTGATAAAAATAATACTGAATAGTAAATTTATACTTTGAACAATTGTAAATTGTTTTATCATTAAAAATTAAAAGCCACTAATAATAAAATTTAATTTCTAGAAATAGAATATTAATTAGTACTGTAATATTATTATATACTTAAATTAAATTTTATTACATACCTCAAGTGTTTTAGTAGTATATTTTACTTCAGTTATATGTTCACAGCTAAGGTACTATTGCTGTAAACTATTTTTCACTGGTAAAAAGAAGTTTAAGCAATATAAATATTACTGATCCGTACATTCAATACCGGTTTCTACTTAATAACCTTAGCACATGTGCTGCGGACATCGATGTCATCAGCGCCTCAGTCGTCCAGCGACAGTTAGGGTGATTCTACAACCTACGTAGAATTTTGGGTTGCGCATTGTATGTTCTGTGATAGCGTATACGGACGAGTAATGTCAACATCGAAAATTAATATAATTATTCACTGTTAATAATATTAAGGGCCAGGCATACCCTCTCAGTTGGTATTCAGTACCGAATTATTTTGTCCTCACTTTTCTGAATGAATAATCAATCAATCATCTTGAAACTTTGTAATTACGTTCAGGGGATTTATACGATTATTCCGTGCCTGAACTGGCCAATGTTTGAGACAAAGCTTTTTGATACTTAAAGGCGCGAGGTTTTCAACTGCAAAAAAAAGTGATGAATTGAATATTAATAAACTGCTGTTTAAGAACAGCTGAAATTTGAAGTGAAACTCCAACAATATCACCCGAAAAAATCAAAATTTAAGCAAGTAAATAATTTAATTAAAAAATAAAGTTAAATAAAATTTTAAGAGAAAAATTCAACCAAGAAAAAAGACTTACGTTTCACTTCTGGTCTTTTACAACTAGCGTAGTCGGATAAGGAACGCTGGCTCAAAAGCTCAAAACGTCGCAAAAAGTTTTTACAAAAAAAATTACGTCAAGTTTTACGTAAGACCTTCTCTTGAGAAAAAATCGAAAAAAAATCATTTTTTTCTAGCTAATTATTCTAGCTTAGAAATATATTAATACATTATCTGCTTGCAAGAAATAATATTTTTATTTCATACTTTTCATTTTTCTTCCTTAAAATCATGCTTAAGGCTTCACATGAACTAGCTCATGTAATTTCTAACGTAAATTCTTATGGAATAAATTACTAACATAATTAGAGTTTTTAAGTCCATTTCTTGCATAATAATTTACTTAAGAACTTTTACTGTGAATAATCGTACCTATAAGATTTTACGTAAGATAGAATAACAAATTTTGTGAAAGTTAAAGTTTTGAGCTAATGTAAGAACTTATTTCACATTGAAATTAGTCTAATAGTTCATTTGTAGTTGTTACATTGAACTATTCATTGCGATAATCGATAACATTAGCTACTCATGTTTTATAATAGTTAAAAGAATTTACAATTTATTTATAAAACATTTATTTATTTATAGAACCATATTTTTATTCAAAAATGTCACTATTATCTCAAAGATTTACATTATAAATATAAATATATTACATTAATATAATTTGATTGAATATTTATAACTTTAAAAATTTTGTAATTTGTAAAACATTATTTCATAAGGCTAAATTTTAATGAATAGCTAATAAATCAAACATTTTAATGATAACCACTTTGACAATTTGGAAAAATCAATTTCCTATTTTTTGTATTACACTAAAATATAGATACTTAACAAATGTATTGATTTTAGAATAATTTTATTATAAATTAGAACAAAATAATATTTTTACTGCGTGTAAATATTTTCACTAATGGTAGTAAAAGTATAAACAATTTGATCAAAACATACTTCTATCAAATCATTTTATCGAAACCACAGATTCTCTGTAAAGGATGTGACAGTAGTTTTGACATAAAGTTATGTATATCAACAGGATCATATGATGATTTCATATTATATGAATTACTATTAGTAATTAATTTGGATAATTGAGCATGAATTTCTTTGCATTTGCTATTGGATAGTTCAGGATCATGAATATATAAAATATCTATAAAAAAATGTTGATATTTAATCATTTTTTGTAGATTAGCAGTATTGATTTTGGGTAATGTAAATGATCTGCTGTACAGTAGTATTAATCGCACTGCATTATTAGTCAACATCTCATGTAAATTCAATTGCTTTGATAATACATTAAATATACTATCCACTTCAAAATACTGTACAGGTTCTGTTTCATTTATTTGTTCAACATCTTCCAAGGCATTCATTAAAATTTTTGAGTCTGATGAAAAATTACAAATCCACTTTGCTCCATTGGAATCTATTGTTATAAATGCAAATTTATGATTTGCATTGATATCCAATTTAATATGAACAAATATTTCAATCGCTCGCTTGATCATGTACAAAACATGAGATTTAACAATTTCATCACTTCCAAATTCGCAAACAAGGTCGATTACAAAAATTATTTTTTCACTAGAAGCATCAATACTTCCTTCTTGAATAAAATTGTTTGTGTTCATGATGATGATCAATGTTTTATTAATATTACAAATAAAATATTGAACTAAAGTTTTACTTCTCCGGTTTTGTTTATTAAAATATAAACAACACTGATAATATACCGGATTATGAATTAACCACGAAATTTAAAGTAGTCACTTTGAAAGGGAAAAAGCCCTGGTTACTCTAGTGGTATAGCTACGAATCAAATCGACGTGGCCAGCAGACGGGCAGACAAAAACAACAGAGGCCAAAATTTTCTCAGATTTTTGCATAAAAGATGTAAAATTAAATAAAAAAAAAACACCTGCATGAGTATCTAGCAGGTGAACTAGTTTTCATAAGGACGCAATTTGTATAAAACAACATAAACTTGAAAGTTATTGTTGCTTGCTTTCATAATGATGGTCAATGATGAACTATTAGTGCCAATTTATTCGTAAAATAGCGCGCTTTATGCAGACCTTTTTATTTCACTCCTTTCTTCACCATCCTTCATGGTGTTTTTATCTACGTTAATTTTTCGCGTATGATTTCGTACGAAATCAAATTTGCCGGTGTTAAGGAAAACATTACAAGTATTGTGAAGTGACTAACCAGCTGATCATTTGTGTCCTTTTGGGAGTTATATTCGTAATCAGTACTCAAACAACTACCATTGCTTTGAATGAAAAACCTTGACATTTAACATTTATAATCCTTTGAAATAATCTTAATATTGTTGGTATTGATTTTATGGAAATGGTCAATTATGAAATGAAATAAATTAAACACATTATATTTATGAAGTAAGTACTATACTTTCAAAATTCTTAAATTTATTCTATATCACATATATACTTGAAATTTTTAGCTTTAGAAAACATATTTTTATAAAAATAAGTTTAAGCATGTTTCTAAAAATGATTGAGTATATCATTATTTATAGCTTGAGATATAAAGGGTATTTTACAAATTTGTTGATTTCCTTCTAGTTAATTTAATTCAATTGAACCAAACAATCAGTAAATATTGTTGAATAAATTCTGGAACTCTAGGTATAAATTTTTGGTTCATGAATTTAATCATTATTTTTTTCTATGAATATATTCCACAAATTTAATATTCTTATGATTAGAGACTTGTAAATTTGTTAACATTTGAACAAGTTTAAGATATAAATGTTTTAATTAACAAGAGTAATGCGTTTATCATTTCATCTCAGATTTAAATTTAAATTATTATAGACAATTTTAGTTGTAGGCACACTTTTTTAAATAATAAGGTATTTTGTAGAAGCTGTTATATGCTTGAGTCATATTTTATTTTGTCTATGTATATACGGTTATCAGCTGACAAGGTACAATACATACTTTTCTAAATACAGCAGGCGATTATCCAATAATTCTTCAAAGTACATCAATATTACTTGACAACATTCTTTACTTAAATTATGAGTAATAAAATTTAAATTAGAGTTACTTGAAAAAAATTTGATTCTAAAATTTTGGGTTTATCAATAGTTAAAAGTGTTTTATTTAATAGAAACACATATTTCATGATAACTATTTAAATATATTTTCAGAAGGTTAAACTTTGTAAAAAAATATGTTTTAACTCGATAAATGGACATCAATTTAAGAATCATATATTATGAGGGATTAGTTTATAGATCAGTTTGTTACAATTATATTAAGTAAACATTTTATATCATTAAATGTACAAAATATCATTTTTTTTCTAATAAATTCTGTTGATTTAACCCTTTTTTTCCCTTATTCATCTATTTTAAGCTTTATAATTCATTCAATTTCATTAAAATGAATTGCTAATAATCTTCAAAAGCCTAGTTCAGAGCTGACTAAAATGATATTAATTTTATCAAAGTTTTTCAATGATTATCTCAATATATATATGAGCAGTTTTTTTACATATGTACAACTTTTGTGCGGGGGGTTCTCGGATCTGCCCCAAAATTTAGTATGTTATTTGGTATGTGAAAATAGCCTTCAGAAAAATTTTTAGCCCTCTAGGGGCCTTAGGGCCCAATTTTGGGCTCCTCGAAGGTCCAAAAATAGCCGTTTTTACAAGGGTCGGACTGAGCAAAAATTTTCAACTGGGAATTCAAAACAGAATCGGTGCCAATAGATTTTTACCGTACCTTATAAAAATGATTAAACAAATGAAACTTTGAAAATTATAACTATATATAATAATACACATAGAAATGAAATGAATACGGAAAAACATAATTTTTATACTTTTTTTTAAAAACTGCTAAAAAAATTATATTTTTGTGCTACCCCAACCTAAAGTAACATTTTACTCCCGCTGAGCAAAACCAAAATGTTACTTTAGGCTGGGGGATTCACAAAAAATTGTATTTCCACCTATGTAGCGAAAAAAGAAAGTCTCGGAGCACGTGATTATCAACCTCGGCTTCGCCTCGGATGATAAATTACACGTGCTCTGAGACTTTCCAGTTTTTCACTCCCTAGGTGCAAAATATACTATATTAAAATAGATTTTAATAATTTGCTTTTGAATGCCACTTCGTCGATTATATCTTCAAGGTCTAAATTTTCCAATATTTCTTTTTCCACTGACATAAGCATGAAAGATTCTCAATGGTCTTGCGTCAAATTGGATCTTAATCTGTTCTTAATCAATTCAAGAATTGAAAAACTTCTTTCGCAAGCTACTTGCGTATAGGAAAGAGTTAGCATGTACTTAAAAGCTAATTGCACTGTAGGTGCCAGTGAGCATGTTATACCTGCTAAGAAGCCTGTAGCATCAAACCAGGCAATTTTTGCAGGTTTTTCCCTTTATTTCGCAGATATTTGCATTATCTAATTCATCATTTTGATATTGTTCGACAGTTCTACACTGATATAATTCTAAATTTGACTTTTTTATTGTTTCCCAATTTCGTGAAAAATGCTTTAATTCTGTACGTAAATTTTCCATGGTTGCATTTTTATCAAATTTCAATAAATTTTTGCTTAACTCTTTGAAAGCGGAAGAGCTTACTCCTTGAAGATTAATGTTTGAAAAAGCTTTAGGATCGAAGTAAGCTAAATCAGCGTAAAGAGCATTGTTTTCAAAATTAAATCGTGTCTTCAAACTTGTAGTTGCTGCATCGACTATCTTGTTGAATATGTTTACTTCAAACGATTTTAAAGGACCCTGAATGACCGTGTCTTGTTCTCTTGACATCTTTTTTATCTTCCGAATTCTTTTTTTAACAAGTTCGGACTCAATTTCAACATCAATATCTTTATTTTCAAGTTCTACCAAACACCAATTCACAAATTCGTCAGCTTTTTTTTTACCTCTAAAAAGTTATTCCTCAATCTATCAAGAGCTTTCGTTGCATCTTTAATAAAATGGTACGCTTTCAAAATATCAAAACCACTTGTCTGCAGATATTTTGAAAGTGGTGTCGTTTCTTCATAAATGTGTAGAAAAATAAAAGCTGTTAAAATTGTTTCGTATTTCAACAAATTTTCTTTGTACATTTTAGCTCTAACTTTTTCATCGGGGTTCGGTCGCTCGTCGATTTCCATGTCATTTAATACGCATATACTATTTATGTATAGAGAAGATTCTTTATTTTCTACAGATCCAATGACTTTATTTAAAGCATTAGCTTAGCCCACCATCGAGTTTTCCCTATAAGATTAATTTTTTTAAAGCGTGGATCTTTATTTGCATTCTTCCATTTATCCATTCGCAAATATGAACGCTTAAAAAACGCTGCAATATCATTCAACAAACTAAAAAGAGAAGCACATTGAATTACAGAACTAGTTGTATCTATGAGAATAAGATTCAGTATGTGTGCATAGCACCAAACATGTACTAACTTTGGAGATTTTTTGGATAACCATGCACTGAATCCATCATACTGTCCTTGCATATTTGCAGCTCCATCTGTTGAACTCCCAATGCAATTTTCAATTTTTATACCAGTAGCTTGTAAAACTTTCATTAATAAATTTTGTAATGACACGCCAGTTCCAGAATGAGATCGAATTACAGCGAGAAGTCTCTCGTAAACTTGATCATTATACACGTATCTGATAACTATAATGCACTGATCTTGACTTGCAATGTCTTGTGTAGTATCAATTTGAATCGAATACATTCCTGCATCTTCAACTTCTTTTGTTATTACAGCTTTTATTTTAGCACCAAAAATCTCCACAATGTTATTAATAGTGGGTTTCGAGCAAAGAGTCACGAAATTACCTCGACCTTTTGGGCCTTGTCTGTCCTTCAATTTGCCTTCTTCAAGGTATTCTTTTTGCTTCAATGCTTCATTATGTTTACTTTTTTCAATACATTCATTGATATGATCTTTTAATAATACATCATACTGTGAAAGAAGCATTAAGATTTCCAAAAAATTTCCGTGAAAACTGCGAAATGAACAACAGTTGATTCAACTGAATCGGTGGCAACTTCTCCTTCTTCAGCGTGAATGCGTGGATCAAGGGCTTGTGATCCGTATAAATCTTGAATGTATAAACCTCTAAGCTCGCGGTAATAGGCTGGCCAACTAGCTTCTTTTGGAGATAATTTCTTCGAGAAAAATGCTAAAAGGTGCCAAGCGTTGTCGATCCACTGATTCAAAGACGCGCCGACAGCTGTTCCGGATGCATTGGTGAAAAAAAACAATGGTGCGCCGAGACGGAGGTGAGAGAGCCGTGTCGCAGTTGCGATGCTGTCTCTGCAACGAAAGAAAGCTTTTTCCAAGTCCGGCGTCTATATTACAGGCTGTGACCCCTTGATGAGCGGCTTGCTAAGAGCGTCGTATATGGGCTCTTTCAACTCGGATGCATGCGTGACGAAACGACGATAAAAGTCGAACATGCCAAGAAAACGTCGGAGCTGTTTTCGGTAGAGTAGTCGAGCATAGCTTAAATTCGATCTTCAGGTGGGTGAACACCAGCAGCTGACACCAGATAACCCAAAAGTTGAACTTCCGGCTGGCCGAATGTACACTTGTCGAGATTAATAACGAGGACGTATTCATGAAGACGCTTGAATAAAATCTCGAAGTATCGGCGGTGCTTCTCTTGTCATCTTGAGTACATCAAAATATCGTCTATGTAAACATAACACAAGGGTTAACCTTGAGTCACCTCGTCGATGAAACGTTGAAACGTTGAAACGTTTGGCCAGCGTTCTTCAATCCGAATGTCACTAAGGGAAATTTGTACAGTCCGAAAGGTGTGGTTATGTCAGTCTTGCAGAAGCCATCCGGGTTGACAGGTATCTGTTGATGTGCCTTGACTAAGTCGATCGTCGAGAAATAGTCGATCCTCCAATATTGTTGGCAAAGGCTCACGGAAAAAGCTGCATTTCAGTGAATGATCAAAATTTTGATGTTTCAAAAAATGCAATGGAAAGAGGTCAAAAGTAGTATCTAGTGAAAGAAATAGGTTGACAACTTTTCTTCGTGTATTTAACTATTTGAAACGTAAAGACAACATTTAATTCCATATAAGAACACTTAAAATGTCTGAAAATGACATTTCAAAAATTTAATTCATAGTGACAAGATCAGTTTCATTCTCCGACAGTTAAACTCTATTCGTATTGAACTGTACTTTAAAATTGTTAAATAAACAAAGAAAAATTGTCAACTTCTTTCTTCAACACTAGATATTACTTTTGAGAATTATTTATGTTTGTGACACAGCAAACTGGTCTGGTCTCTAGAATTCAATGTTTGAAATTTCATTTTCAGTCAGTTGAACTGTCCTTATTGAACCAAATTTTGTTTGTACGTTTGAAATAGCTA